GGACGAACCTCGGTATAATAGAATTTTTGAAGTTCGGTTTAGAGCTCTCATCCCTCTAAAACGCCGACAATCTTAATTGTAATTCAGGGTATATCCTGAGCCTGAGCACCTCGACAATCAGCTCGATGTATTTCCTTTGCTTTTTCTTTTCTATCACCAATATTTCAAGTTAGTAAACTGACTGCGGTACACAAAAGTTTTTATTACACCAACATGACATGCCAGTAAGAATTCCTCAATCTCAGATTTAAGACGAGCAGGCTTAAGAAAATCAAATGTAAGAAAGATCATATATTGTTGTTATTTTATTTTTTTTTTGTCACGATTCTATCGGTTGTACCATGGTTTGGTTTGGTAACCTTATGACGTGTCGCCGGAACATTTCCATTCAAGCCTCCACGTTCATTACTCTGCGGACTATGTTCACCGTACCCAAAATAGCTGCTTTAATACATTGACTTATGATATTTTCTGGTAGCTTCAGCTCCTTTAAGTTCTCAAAATCAATGTGACCATTGCTTGAAATGATGAATGGTATTACTCGGGTTGCTTTTAGATGATAGGTTTGTGTTTCTAGCCAAGTCTTGATACTTAGAATTTTTTTCCCTTGCAGTTTTGACTACGTTGTGATCAAGTGATACAGCTACGTCGATTAAGTAGGCTTTCTTTTCGTTATTATCTATCCAAACAATGTCCGGCTTATTGTGAACTACTGATCTGTCTATCTGTATTTGCGTATTCCAGTATACTTTATGATGTTATATATTTCAGGGTTCTTGATTTTTAGGTACTTTAGCATTTCCAGGTGAATAATCTGTGCTACGTTGTCGTGTCTTTCCGTGTAGTGGACTGACGCAAGACTATCACAGACTTGTTATTATTATTATTATTATTTCTATATTAATGTTTTCTTCTAAATAGAAATTATTTAGAAGATTTGGTATTATTATATTATTACCTATATTGCTATGCACATTTCCCTGTTTATTTTTTATTTAAAATGACCCCCCCCCTAGAATTATTTTCTAAAACCGCCCTTGCTCTCGATTCGATGAAACCAGATAATATAGTAACATTCTGTTATCTGTGTCGGTTAGAAAATTATTATCTTCGAATGTTGGTTAGATTTTTATTATGACTCGTGAGAAGATACTTTAGTGCGTTTCGACAAATGTCGCTCAGTACACTTCCTTAACTCACAGTAGTTTTGAAATTTGACCCAGTATCGCTGCCGAGAGCTGCTAAAATCTTCCGGGCTACAACGCATAGTAATATAAAATTTAAAGAGTGGATGTTTTCAGTTGGATATAAGCAATGGTCTCCGCCTTGGCACGAGCTTCGCGAGTTTGACATGGGGGACAGATTCGTCGAGAGATTCTTACACACCTCTCATAAATTCCGATCAATAAACCCTTTTGCAATTACTCTCTATACCTTTCTGGCGTGTGCATTGTAGCTAGCTTCTGTTTAAATAATTTTACCAATAAAACAAGCCCTTAACAGTGCAAAATGTCTGTTTTTAATGGCAAAAATCGTCTGATTTTTCCACGAAAATTAATTTTTCAGTGGCTCTCATCTGGGGCACAAATTTGCCTATGGCTTTGCCCTATATCTGAAACTGTACCCGTAATATACCCGTTGTTTTTCAAAAGTAGCTCAACCCTATAACTTTTTTATTTTTTCAAACAAAAAAACCACAGTAGTATGTTAGTATATGACATAAATCAGGATCGATTGACCTATTCAATTAATTTCGGTCATTTCCTGTTTCACCAGATTTCTTTTATTATATAGGGTGAGTCTTAAATAAGTGCAAATATTTTAGGAGTAGTATATTTCGAATCCCAAAAACATGTCTATCAGGTTTTTTTAAATGTCTAGTCAAAAAACATAAAATATCTTGATAATATAGCAACATTATACAGGGTGTCCCAGAAATAAGTGCAAATATTTTAAGGAGTGGTAGATCTCGGCTAAAGAAACATATTTTCTCTCTATCGTTTTTCACATAAGTCCAAAATAACAGAGTTATTTTACTTTGAAAATTTCCAAAAAAAATGATTTTTTGCAAAAATTTTGAGAACCACTGGATCTTTTCTGGATTTTCTTTTTTGTAAATTTAATGCTATGCGGGCCCAAGTTATCCTTGCTAATTTCCTATCATGGTCCCATCGCAGGTTCGGTCTTCTTCTAGGTCTCTTAATTCCTCGTGGGTACCATTCTATAATTTTTGTGGTCCATCTGTTTTCCGTCCTTATTGCCAGGTGTCCTGCCCATTGCCACATGAGGGATGTGATTATGTGGATGACATCTACTACATGGGTCCCTTTTGTCGTATCCACTCTGTTCTTTGACGGTTTTTCTTGGTTATTCCCAGCACATTTCGCTCCATTGAGCGTTGTGTGACCTGCAGCACCCTGTATATATATGCAGGTATGCGTGGAAAAAAATTTACCATTGTTGGCTATTTTTTACGACTTTTCAAGGCGCTTAGAGAAAAATAGTAAACAAAATGATAACATTATGAAAATTCCAAAGTTTGTAGGAAATTTTATGTATTTTACTTATTATATAAACCTTCAAAAGCACAAATGCCGCGATTTTGTAAGAAAATCCATTTTTTCAACCGTTGTTTTTCACAATTTTTGATGATTATACCTACATGTGTTATCGTACTCGTAAGAAGAAAATTTACTCTTTTTCTTCGAATCGCACGTTGGGAAATAAATAGTTTTTATTCAATTTTTCTTAATATTGTTATGGGGCGCAAAATCTTTTTAATTCTGAACTTTGTGTACCTAGAAAGAACTGCGACGCACATTGCTTTATGAAAATGATTGCTGCGGATCTATTTGTCCTCGGTGACCTAATTAGAGGAAACTATTTCCCTTCAATTGAAGCAATTTATTGTTTAAAATATCTTTTCCGTTACATAGTGCTTCCTGTGAGGTTGAGCAGAAAATTGTTTTCAAACGTACACAAAGCAAAATCAATAGAGCTTGTTCAAAGGGGAAGTCATGCATTTTTAATTAATTTGAGTATCATAATAATTGAGAAAGTTATGTTGTATTTTTGTTGTCAAGTCCCACAGAACTGTTCTGATTTTATTTCTTTTAAAATTAAAAATCATTACGGAAAGTTAATTTTATTATTGATCTGAAACTTCTTTACGCGCGCTGGGAAGGCCGTGACACACGAGCTAGTGCTAACGAAAAGTGGTAACGGCTTAGAAATATGTAGAGACGCGACGTGTATTTGTGAGCAGTCCACGTGCTTATCAAGAATATTGATATTTTAATACAAATTTTGTGAAAGTGAATCAAATTATTACGTGTAAAAAAACTCTTTGTTATAAGTAAAAAACTATTTTTTAAGCGTAAAAAAACTATTTTTCACGCATAAAAGACTATTTGTTGTAGGTAAAAAAACTATTTGTTACACGTAAATAACTATTTTTTGCGCGGGAAAAATATATTTTTTTGAAGTTATTATTTTTTCAACATTTCAAAGTACACTTTTTCAAACATTTCTTCAAAGCCTCCAATTTAATAGCTGTTAATAGCTGGTTTCAGTTCAAATATGCGCACATAGTGCACACAATTTTTTTATAAATTTTAGTTCCCTGTAGATATCAAATTTTTACAACATATCTTATATACATTGCGATTATGAGATAAGAGAATTATTTGGATGGTGGTATATATGTATTTGCAGGTTGTAGATATATACTTATATCTCGGCAAGTTAATATTTGCAAATGGATGATTGTATACAAATTTTCTGTTTAAAACATCAGAGCGGTTCAGAGCGAGAAAATGAACTATTTCTACAATGAAATACAAATTTAGCACAATTTAGATTAAAAATAGAAGAACCTTGGATGTTATACTAGCGCAAAAAAATCAATTAGGGTCATATTAACAAAAACTGGATTTTTTTGGCTTCGGAAGATCTGATCGTTTGCCAGCCTTTGGGATTTAAGGAATTTAAAATAAACGTATCGCCTACCTAATCGTAGTCGCCCAAATATATTTAGGTAGCTTTGTTCTTTTGAGACGCAACTAATAACTTCAAAAATAATTAAATTGTTTCAAAGAAAATTTCAAGTAACGAACCTATGCACAGAACAAAATTCCAAGTTCAAACAACCTATAAAAATATAAGAGATAAGTTTAAGTTAGAAAGTTTGTAACAATAACGAAGTTGATGCATCTCCAGAGATCTCATTACAAGACCGTTGTTCTATGAGAGGTTGTTGAAGCTTTAAAGAGCCAAGATCCATTTCTTTAATTAGTGTACGAAGGCGAAATTTGCAGACATGACAGCTATATCTGTTTGAGACATCAAAACAAAATTACGATAACCTTTTAAGTTCTAGCCTGTTCTAGTAATATTGAGGTTTGGGAGCAAGGTACACGGAGAGAAATGCGTAGCCTTAATTATGAATATATTTAGGTCGTAATTTTACTTTAAAACATATTAAAATTAAGCCCCGTTTACACAATAAACTGGTCAGTTAAAAAATATTAATTAAAACTTTGTGTGTAGACGAAAAAAAAAGGACCGTTTTACTTGAATTGAATTAATTAGGTCGGAGGATATTCACAAGAAAACTGTAGTTTTGTCTAAACCGAAAAAAATATAGGTATATTAAAAAAAATAATATGGATAATAAAAAATTAAAAATCTAATATTTTTGCATAGTTTTGCAAAATAATGTAATTTTACAAAATTGTTTAAAGATACACATATATTTTAATTATTAATTACCAAACGCTTTTAATTTCACAAGTAGGTTTGCGTATTTACCAATGAAATTTAAATCATAAATACACTTGTGTAGTAAAAGTTCATGTTTGTTCGTTACTTCACTAAACCCAATGCTATAATTGATAAAACCGCAGGTAAAACTTCCAGTGTATACGCTAGTTTTTATTCCGTATTACCGGTACGACGTTATGTGTAACAGGCGGTTTAAACAGTAAAAATATTAAACTTACCTTTTATATCAGTCGAATTTGGTTGAGAACCCATAATATCATTTAAATAGTGTTCCAATCCTCTCATATTTTCTAATGGACTATTTCCATTTGCACTAACAACACCTCTATCCTGAAAATTAATTATTCATTACTTGCTACTAATTACGAAATACAGCATTAAATTTATCTAAATTGAAGCGATTCACATTGAAGGCAAAGCAAAGTTAAGAAGATTTTTTCAGTGTTAAATTTAAAAACGGTAGTAGAATGATTTAAAAAAACTATGTAAACAAAAATACAGATATAACAACATCTACGGTTTCTGCTCGAGAAGTTAAAACTACCAAAACCCCGAGAAATCAATTCCGTGCGCTAAAAAACACTTATGTCACATTCTATCAGAAGATGTTAACAGCGCTTTCAGACGGAGCGGACTGTCCGCGACGGAGCGTCCGCGAATTCGAACAAGTACCATGAGTTTATAATGTGAAATTGTTCATATAAACTCATGGTACTTGCTCGAAGGCGTGGACGCTCCGTCGCGGACGGTCCGCTCCATCTGAAAGCACTGTAATACTCTTGTGTCTCCGAAAGATTATTTTACAAGAAAAAAGCTTTGTGGAGTAAATTCAAGGAAATGTTGGTCGAGCATTTTTCACAACCAAACCAAACCCTTCTGTCCCTTTTTGGGGACTTTTTTTTAATTGTCTCCAAACCATATACAGCATATTTTTTTAAATACTTAAAGGAATCTTATTGCAAATTTCAAGATAACGTGGAAATGACGTAAAGCATTCTTGAATATAATTTTATTTTTATTTGTTATTCTTTATCGTTTTTTTAATGATAATTTTTTTTTCTTAATTAACTAAATTTCGAACAATTGGATCGTACAGTATAACAGGCAATTGTATTTCTATAAAATAAGTACTTTTAAAGTCATTATATTCAAATATCTTTCTAAGCATGTTTTAAAGAACAGTACTATTTTTTTAGTTAAACTTAAGATTCCTATCAACAAAAATAGTTTACAATTTTAGTATGTTAAATTAAAAACACAGCGATACCCTACATTTCAATAAGAACATTTCCATACATTGTACACGTATCAGATTAATGAAATAATAATACTATTTGAAACAATAACAGATAAATTTTAATAATAGTCGATTTTAGTTACAATTTGCATTTATAACCGTGCTGGTTTAGTGGACGATAAAGAGATAATAATATAGATAATATAATTCACACAAATCATACTGGCCTCATACTAAGTTATTTTCGGGTGTGTTTATGAAATTATAGGCTCCCATACATCTGCCATACATGCCCTATATGCTTTTTGAATTTATTCTATTAATTTTCAGTAGTATTAACTTTGATATACAGGGTGAGTCTTAATTTAGTGCAAATATTTTTAGGGGTAGTATATTTCGATCCCAGAAATACGATTATGAGATTTTCTTCGCGAAATTTTTTTTTTCGAAAATTTGGAATTTTTTTAAAAATTTGTTTAGTTTTTAGTTAAAAAACATAATTTCTTGATAATATGGCAACATAGCTAGAGATCTTTGATATCGTTACCTATCAATGTATTGATAGTAATTTCGTAATTTCCATAAATATCGGTTATTTATAACTAGTATATAACTCTAAATAAATATAGCAAACGAAACTTATTTTTGTTGGTATATTTTTATTTATTTTTTTTAACCCGCAATATTACTATTACATTTTATACAGGGTGAGTCTTAAATTAGTGCAAATATTTTTAAGGGTAGTATAATTTGATCCTAGAAACACCGTTATGAGGTTTGTTCCGCGAATAAAATTTTAAAAATTTCGAATTTTTTGAAAATTTTTAATTAAAAAACGCAATTGCTTGATAATATGGCGATATTATCAAGATTATAATAGCACAGCTATAGGTATCGATAATTTGACAGTTAGGGATGTATATAGCGATAACTTATCGATAGGTTCAATCCCCCTTGCCCCCCTATGACCTCCTAACCCTATATATACAGGGTGGCCCAGAAATAAGTGCAAGTATTTTAAGGGGTGGTAGAACTCGATAAAAGAAACATATTTTCTCTATGTCCAAAATAACGGAGTTATTTTACTTTGAAAATTTCCAAAAAAAATTATTTTTTGCTAAAATTTTGAGAACCACTGGATCTTTGCTGGATTTTCTTTCTTATATATTTGATCTAATGCCTATGTTGCCATATTATCAAGAAATTATGTTTTTTAACTTAAAACTAAAAAAATTTCCAAAAAATTTCGAATTTTCAAAATTTTCTTTTTCGCGGAAAAAACCTCATAGGCGTGTTTCTGGGGCTGAACTATACAATAACCAATTAAAATACTTGCACTTATTTCTGGGACACCCTGTATATATACTATGCACTGAGATAAAGACTCATTTTTTATAGATATTTTTCTGTTTTTCTTTAATCTGTTTTTTACATTTTTTTTGTATATGTCCTTACTTAAACGTAAAACATGCGAATATAAAATATTATTGGCTATTGTTTTCAGATCTTTGATAAACAAAGAAAACAATTGCGTATTGAATTGACATAAAATTTACGTCAAAAATGGCATTAAAAACGTTTATATTATATCTGTAGTATTCTGATTTTAAGTGACGTATGATTAAATGACATTGTTCCATAACTAACTTAATTCATAAATTAATTTCATACATTTTTTTAATATTTTAACTAAAATATGTTATGATATATTATAGAAAAAATTTAAGATACATTATAAATATGTTCGATCGATAGAAATTAAATTCCCTTTTGATCCTGTATGCAGGGATTTTAAATGCCAATTATTTTTTGCTATAAACTATATGTACATATAAAAAGGTATGGCAGAGGTTTTGTTAAAGTCTTAGGTTTCTAGACGGCATTACTTTAATGATCGGGTGAATCGGCTGTTATTTTTGCAATAAAATCCTTAATTTTATGTTATTCCTTGTTAATAAATCCAGTCGATTGCCTATATAACCACATACAGCCAAGATTTGGAGTGTATAACGCTAAAATAACAGCTACAGAGAAATATTTTATTATTTCTCAAGTATTCGAAGTAATTGATAGTTGTTGATTAAATAAAATTGATAGTTAATTATTAAATATCGTTATTTTAACTAAAAAACTATCTTTCAGATTAGTCTATTAATTAAATACATATACGTACTTTCAATTAATAGTATTCCATAAAAAATTCATGTTTTTTTTCTAAGCAGAATATATTCAAATCAAGTATGTGAATGCTATTAAAGAGAAACCTTGCCTTTGCAAGACCTTTTCTTATTTCGCTAAAAGCCTGTTTTTTCCCTTAAAACATTCCTCCAAAGAAAATGAAAATAAATGAATTTCTCGCCATGCTTGTTTATCCAATCTTAATTAATGAAAATACGGTTTTCCTTTTAATGTTAAAAAAAAATCTCTGAAATCCCCCAGTTCTTGCTCACCACAGATTTTATTCAGGCAATATAACTTTTTTTTTAATTTTTTTATTATTACTTACCTACTACATATACTAAGTATCTGAATCCCTTTTTTTTAAAGAAAAAGAAATAATTTTTTTTTAATTTAATCTAAAAGACCATTGATGGCTTTTACCTTTTCCACATTTGCGACGGCTGGCGGACCTCAAAGAACATATGTAGTTTTTAGAAATACGTAATTTTACTAGGCCTTGCATAAGCGAAAATTACACTACTGTACGCTACTGGAACAGAATGCCAGATCTATATTTTTATTTATAGCTCATAGTATAGAACTCATGGCCATTTCTATTTCCAGCCTAGTGCTTACCTGGGTATCTAATAGCATTTTATCCTTGTTGATTTAATTAAACTTATTTACAATATTATACAACTGTTTAACCAGTTTTTGTCAGATAGAGAAAATACAAGCAATGGGAAATTTAAAACCATCTGGTTTAATTAAAATAGAATAATTAACATAGATTAGAGATTTTTTTTCAAATATATTTATTAATAATTATTTTAAAAAAATACTGCGTTTTCAGTAGCTTTTTAACCACGTGTCCCACTTAATTTTAGTGTTAAAAATAAATATCTCACAATTGCTGCGTCTTTCTTTTTAAACGCACTTTAAAATACTTTGCACAAAACTGAATTTAGTAGCCCAAAACAATTCTAATTTAGCAAAATCCAAGCAAAAGTTTCATTTTATGGGAGTCAAAATAATCACTCATAAAATGACAATTTTATTTTTTTTATATCGGGATATTTTACTACATCAGGTGTTTTCACAGGTACTATATGTATTAATATTATAACTTTTATGTACATAGTAAATTTAGTTATCAGTTCAGAGATTAGATAGATACATACATAATAATATATTATTTAACACAATTGTAGACATGGAATGTACCTATTTATATACACCATTATATTTTTTAATATGTCTATTTTTTGGTAATCCAATTAGAACAAAAAAAATATATCAATTTATATAATTAAATTACTCAATGTATTTCTGGACTCAATACAATTAAATTTAACTTGACCTAAAATGTATCTCCGTTTTTTTGAAAACTCAAATGACTGATTTAATAATTATTTTTAAAAATAATAAGTGTGCTACTAAATATAAAATTAATGTCACCCTCTAAAAGCAATATCATTCCGTTTTTTTTCATATAACTCATTATATTCCCAAAAGAATTTGGTATTTTCCGACCTATTATATTGTACAAATATTTTTATCAGTATATTTAGGCAGATAAGATTTTGTGCTCTACTTCTACTAGAATTTAAGTAAATTAAATTATGACTTAAAATAAAATTTAATGAAATATTTTGATCCTATTAATTTAATCTTGTACATACATAGAAGTTTAATAATTATTGATACCAATTTTATGTATATTTTTATGTGACATTTTCCTATATATATATATATGGACTACAATATAAACATACGGAGTCATATATGTGTGGGAGATCACAGTTATCTATTTTTATTGCAGTATGTTGTATATGTCATTTACAAATTTGTTTTTATTCACAAAATAGACAATGAAATATATAATATATAACTTTTATCGTCAATAATACACAAGATAATCCACTGAAATAATTGTTTAAGATCTAAAATTTAAAATGCGTAAAAGAGTCTGAAAACACATTAAATAAAATAAATTGGTACGCCACTGAAATCCAATAAATTAGTTAAGTGATTCATCCTGTGTATGTAAAGGAAATAAACAAACAAAAATAACAAAACAAAAGACACTAAGAGGTGAGGAAATAAAAACAGCACGACATTAAGGGTTAAGTTTATTAAATAAAAAAAATTATCACAAAAGTACACAGCAAAAATGAAATAAATCAAAACAGGTACATGAACAAAATCAGCAACTACACCATAGTAAGCAGATGGCAGCACAAAAAAATATAAAAATGTAAACAAACAACAATACTTAAAATAGTGCATTTGAAAATAATATTTCTATTTGCTAGCATGTCACATATTACAATATTATAAAGGAAAGTAACATATTGTGTAGAGTAATTTCGTTGTTTTTTAAGATCATAAAATTTGTTAAATCAACGTAATTATCACAGACATCTTTGGTTAATCTATATATTAATGCTATAAAATGACTAGAATCGTTTATGAGATACTCCAGATTTATTTGGCCTTAAAAGACATTTAAATTTGTAACAATTTTCTTTGGGTATCGGGTTAGTAGTGTAGAAAAATTACGACTGCAAATTATTTTTAGACAATAATGGTAATAAAAGTTAATATAATTCTAGGAAGTTTAATGACATACGTAATCTCTTGATGAAATGCGACGTATAAGAGATTATAAAATATGTTTATATTCTTTCTAACGACTCTAATTTAAAAAAGTGTGTCAAAATGTATAAGTCCCATCTGGATGAAGTTGTATGATTACGTTTATTGTTAGTGAATGGGTATGGTTTTACATATGTTACTTTCCTCAAATAGCCTAAGCCAAGTGCCACTCATTACCTGAAACGGTAGCAACTCGCGAACCTCGTCCATATTCGTGATTTCAAAAGTGGGAGGTTGAGGAAATGGTCCCTTTCCAGGATACGAAGTACTCCTACGAAACTTGACTGGAGAAATCACTTGTTGTTGCTGATTGAAAGTGGGACTAGGCTTGCGACCAGGCGTCATTCCAACCCCCATCTGCTGCAGGGGTGTCAAATTTGGTACGCTGCGTCCTCGACTCCAAGCAGAACCACCAGGACCCCCTCCAGTGGACCCAGGGTTCCAGCCCTGGCCCGGAGGACCCGGTGGTGCTCCCGTCCACGACCCGAAACTTTTCGCGTAAAGCGGATGGTTGGACAACGACTGTTGTCTGCCCATTTGTGGGGAGAAGTTGTGGCTAGCAGTGATAGCTCTCCGCGTTTGGTTCGACTGGTTCTGGCCTATGTTTCCTCCATACAGCTGTTGCTGGTTGGGCGATGGGAAGTTCTGAAAGCCCATGCCGTTCAGGTTGGGCACGAACCCGTCTTCTATCGCCGTCGACCACAGAGCCCCAGCTGGCGTGGTCGCTTCTGCCGGATGGAAGAAAGTAGGAAGTGATGGTACGGACTTGCTGCTGGCGGAAGTGACCTGGTTAGGAGTTAGTTTGTCGGCTGGTGCTGCTGCTGGTGACGTCAGCTCGTTCACGGCGGTACTTGATGGTACCTCGGTTTCCTTGGAAGGCGCGCTCTTGTCGGACGACGTCGATGTGGTGATCGCCGCTCCGACCACGGAGGACACCACGGTGCTCGACAATTCATCTCCGTTCTTCGAACTGCTACTGACAGCTGCCACCGTTTTCTCGGAAGAATCATCTTGCATTATCGCACTGTAACTCTTCGACGTGATCAGGAGGTCCGTACCGTTGTTGTTTCCAGTCGTCGCCGTTGAAGAATAGAAGATCGTGTTTTGATTTGACTTTGACGAGTTGACGGTGATTTCCGCTGCACTTAATCCTATACTCGTGTTGCCACTCACACTAAATTCCCCCATCAGTCCACGACGCCACTTCCGTATTTCAGTATCCCGTGATTTTGTTATGTCACACACATAGACTGGCCGTCAAAATATATGTGTGTATGTGTATGAACAGGAATTTTCAACCAGTGAACCACCAGCCTACTTTCATGTTAATGTCACTGTTTCTGCCAGAGCGACTGCCGATCCGCGATCCCGAATACAGCGCTGCTACAAACAGGATTTTTATGTACTACGTCGCAGGAACGTTTTGTACCCGCACAACCGATATTGTACTAAAACTTTCCAGCAATTCCTAGATGAAAATCGGAATTTTTATAAACGAAAGCAACTACTAAAACACTCTATTTTATAACTTTTCTTATTTTTTCTCATTTTCTTCGTCACTTAGATTATTGCTGGCAGATAAGCCTTCTATTTTTTTCTCATTTTAATAAACTAATAGGTACCCTTATTCTGACCCTATTTTTAAAAATCTTAAACAAGATGAAAAAAAACACAATGACAATGACAAAGCAAAATACCTATCGTTCGGGATCTATCATTTTTCAAAGTATTGTCCACATAGGCGTACCAATTTTTTCACGCGCTTTTCTTTTGCGCTTATAATTTCAATTTTTTTTCAAACTAAAATCATACACTTCTCGTCTACAGAACTGCATCTAATTGCTTTATGCATGCTTTTTTTACTTTTTAAATATTATAAACAGGAAGCAAAAGTTTGCAATTATTATTTTATGAATCAATACTATATACAGAGGCGTACCTATACATATAATTTTTTCTACGTCCTCAAATTTTTATTACGTATATTGTTGTTAATTTTTAAATATCCTTAACAGGATGAGCAAGCAAAAGCTTCCATTTGCACAAAGGCGTACCTTTTTTTTAAATGGGATTTTTGTCACAATAATTTTTTACTCCCTATTTCTTACATGTTTTTTTACTCCTTAAGTTAGAAAACGCGCACCTATTTTTCTTTAGAAATGTTTAATATACAAGGTGTTAAAAAATAGTGTACCGAACTTCAGTGGGTGATTCATCAGATAAAAATAAAACAAAAAGTATACAGGATGTCTCAGGAATAAGTGCAAGTATTTTAACTGGATGTGTAGTTCGACCTCAGAAACACGCTCATGAGGTTTTTTGTTGAAAAAATTTTGAAAAACTCTTGAGTGCTACTGTTCATTCTCCGGAAATTTATTAAGTGTAGAGAATGCACTGTTGCCTCTTCCTAAGTTACTCAATATCTACACAAAAAACTATCTACACAAAACATAGGCAAAATAACTTTATTTGTATTAGTTTAGATTACTACTACCAAAACTGTAGCAAAAGGGCGCAAGGAACTCCACAACGTGGAGTAACCTCCCCCCTACTGTGGAGCTTGGTAGTGGATGAACTACTAGACAAATTAACTACCAAGAATGTACAACTTTGAGAAACACCTCACTGTAGTATTGAGGTAATAAACCATAGCATAACGTGTATACTTATGCTTTCAAAATCAAAGCAGGGAATTTGGGCCGAAAACTAAATACTCCGAACCATTGAGCATTATTCAAGCAAAATGTCACCCTAGCATTATTCAGGCCAAATGTTACCATTATTTTTTTTAATTTTCAATGTAAAATATCTCAGCTATTTTCAATTTATTTTGAAAATGGTAAAAAGAAAAGATATTTCTTTTCACCAGATCTACCGCTCCTTAAAATACTTGCGCTGATTTCTGAGACACCCTGTATATATTTATTTTTATTTACTCTTTTGAGGGCGGCAGCATCTTAAGGCATATTTTCATAAGAACTTTTTGATTAATTTTGATCAGCAGAATCGCCCGTTGAAGACCTTGTATATTGCAAAAATAGATGAATCTCCTAACTTAAGTTAGAAACCATGTTAATATGTAACATATGATTTTATACAGGGTGTCCCAGAAATAAGTAAAAGTATTTTAAGGGCTTGTAGTTCTCGATAAAAGAAACATATTTTCTCTTTATCGTTTTTCAAATAAGTCCAAAATAACGGAGTTATTTTACTTTAAAAATTTCCAAAAAAAAATGATTTTTTGCTAAAATGTTGAGAACCGCTGGATCTTTTCTGGATTTTCTTTCTTATAAATTTATTCTAATACCTATGTTGTCATATTATCAAGAAATTATATTTTTTTACTAAAAACTAAAAAAAAATTCAAAAAATTTCGAATTTTCAAAATTTTATTTTCGCGAAAAAAACCTCATAGTCGTGTTTCTGGGGTTAAACTTACACTTATTTCTGGGACACCCTGTATAGTAAAATATATAAAAAGAAAAATACTAGAACTGCTTAATGGAAACATTCCTATAAAACAAAGTACCATTGCATTATTAGGAATTTTAATTGAAATCAATCGATAGTTCGTTGTATTTTTATTTCGACCCTTGATCGCGATATAATTTTAACGCGATACGTTACGTACTAAAAAAAAATGTTGTACTATATATAGTACAAATGGTGAAGTGATGTCAACCCCTATCCTGAAACGGAATGATACCATGGAAAACCGAGGTGGGAATCACGCAACCGCACTGCATCCAGGTTGCTGTCGTAGCGCGCGCAGCTGATCGAACAGCTGATGACGACATACGCTCAGCGCACCGCTAGATTGTGCTACTATCGAAAAGCACGTTATCGATAGATCAAGTACATAACACATGATACAATAACGGAAATAACATTTCGGTGTCTATGGTAGTGCCAAAGTTTGTAGTGCAGGCAGATGGCGCATCCTAATGACGCGTTCTATATCGGTTACTGCGGCAAAATATTAGCACATAATAGTATTCGCTTCTATAAAAAAACATTAAATACTCTACGACCTACTGCATTTTGACAACATTTATATTCAAAAAATATTATTGAACTCGGTATTTCAATTAAGTATTAGAATGTATTTAAATGACAAGTGTTTTTCGTTTACTACTACTTTGTTTCTTGTTTCTCATATTAAGAGTTAAAAAAGTACTTTTATACTATGTACCAAGGACACAATAGATCTGCAAGGTCGCAGTGATTAACCCCCCTCCCACTATGTACCAAGTCCAATGCTCCTGAAAAGTGCGCTATAAAGTTCTTACTCTTTATAATAGTGTATAACTTCCGGTTCAACCGGAAATGACCTATTTTTGTAATGCTTAAGGTGGATACCAGAGTACGCTACACGTGAATTACCTTTTATCGATGCTGTAAAACACAGTTGAGCCATCAGTGTTGTCAGACTGAGCGAAATTTAGTCAATAATATGTTTTCCAAGAACGAACTTATAATATGGAGTTTGGAGTTACACTTATAATATGAGAAATAATATCAATATATTTCCTAAACATTACTCTTTATTTTTCTATATTTTCTGTCGATCAATACCACTCTAAATATAGAGTATTTTTGAAACATATTTTCCTTAATGTCTTAGCAGATATTCAAGCGAAATGCATCATATTGTCACTATTGTGTCTTATAACTTATATGTGTAGGTCTTATAGAGGGCTTCTGTCCTTTAGCCTCCGTAGTAGGTTTTTTCTTCTTGGTTACGTTTGGCAACCCAGCAAGGCCATTTTGCTGTGGGACTCTTATTCTCTTATGCTTATTTTGGTTATGCGTTATGCGCATTATGTAACCAAGACAGTAAGTAGATCAATTCTGCATAACCGCAACGAAATGGGTTATAGCACAAACTTAAATTAGTTTGTGGTTATAGTTATGAAGGGGCTTTTTTTGGACGGTTATTTAGCCTTTGTAGTTATAGTTAAGAAACAGAGACGGATTAGCTAGCGAATTTTAACCGGTCACTGTAAGAAAATCTACAAAATAAAATAGTCATTTTCTGTAAACACTGCTGGCCTTAAACTTGTTTTTAATATAAAAGTGTTAGAAAATATATGATTATTAAGAAATAACTATATTTATTTAACAAAAATATATACGTAATATTCATCCACATAAAATATAAATAATAAATAGCTATCGTACCTACTATCCTCTACTATTTATACTAATACGTTTTTTGAATAAATAAAAAAGAGCAAAATTATTATGCAACTACAAATACATACAAATACAGGGCACTCTGTCCCTCTGCTGAAACATCCAGAAACTAAATCCATTTTTTGTGTATATACTTCGGACGTCAAATGTCAAATGTCAAATAATTTCAAACCAAATCAGTTTAATCACGTTTAATCTTGTTTATCTTTTTCTGTCTTGTTCTACAGCCAAACTATTTTTCTATGATCTTGTTTAAACGATTATGGTTTAAATTGTTTAAATCTATGGTTTAAACTAGGAACCAGAGATAACGTTGTCTCCGCTAGGAACAGAGGTTATGTTATGTGTACGGCATTTGTAATCAAAATTCAAAAATAACAATATAATAGTTTGTATAATTGTATGAAAAATAAGATAAACAGGAAAAAACGCGTAAAAAATAATGTCTAGCAGCGACACATTACCGTAAGTAAATTTTATCTTTTGAAAATAAATTAAAAAAGGCTTACTCAATTTGGTAACTTCAATATAATTTTTAGAGTTTGGGAAAAATTCTATCAAATTGTCTCGAGAAGTAATGAACACGTTACAGACGAAGTGATAGACGAAACGCTAGATATTTGTCAGAAAAAAATTGTCAATGTTTTGTTGGATTACAAGCCATACACAAAAGAAAGTTTTGAAAAATGGAAAAAAGAAATAACAATAGGAGATGATGAAATGTCTTATTTTATAAATCGAATGAGTAAAGAGTTGGTATGGTCTTTAATTATATATGTAATTCAAAGAAATGTATTTTGGTATATCTTATTAGGACTTAGATGTTACAATAGCTTGGTCAGTTATATGCAATTATCTTATTTTTCGATACTATGGAAAAGTAGATGAATTGAAGTCAATTATACGATATGAAGCTAATGTTAAATCTTTCATAGACCACATCTGGTATTTTTACACATCTGACCGTATGTTTTTATTGAAAACCCTACGTTTTATATTTGAAAAGCTGTCGGAAAGAGAGCATGTGTTTTTTGAAAAGTATAACAATTTTATAAGCACTATAGATGTAATGCAACTATGGAAAAATCTAGGAAGCACATTTGAGAATCTTTTAAAAGAAGTGGACAGAGAAAAAAGTAATAGAGTTTCAAGTGATATTTTAACAAAATGGGTACAAAGAAACAATAGGGAACAATCAGAAGTTCTTATTTTGATGATTCATGCTTTAAATGTTTTACCTTTGGATGGAGAGGAACTGGTATATACTTTAACATTGTTTATGAGACACGGCTTTGGTAGGCATTCACTCTTTTATGGTGCAGAGTCTTTGTCTAGATCAAAAGACTTAATTGATATTCAAAATGCAGAAATAGGTGTTATAATGATTATTATTCAGAGATATTGGTAAGTCATATTAAAGAAAGAAATGTAACTGTATTTATAAATGTTTTATTTTAAAGGGGTATTCAAAAATACCAAAAACCTTTACCAAAACAGGTCGAAAGTGATTTAGAACAGTACCAGATGCAGTCAGATAATAGTGTCATACTACTACTTTGGGTAGTTTTCAAAGCATCTCTTTCAGACGATCATTTAGAATATTGTACAAATGCTTTGGAGGCTCTGATGGAGAGGAAGGTTTTTAAAAGTCTCAGTACTTTTCTAACGTTAGATATATTTCAAGTAAATAAATATGAGCTCTTTGTGCTGAATAATAGCAGTAACTTATATGTTTTTAGAATTGCACAGTATATGAAATAGTAATAGAGGCCGTTCATAAATTTTTCTGGGAACTCATAAGATTATGTACTGATTATAGATACATTTATGAACAGGAAGGAGTCGTTAATATACTATGTGAATTATTTAAAAAGCCCCATTTAGATCCATTAGAAATTTATTCACCATTTTTTGAAATTGCTGTTGATATGTTTCCTTTTATTTTAAATAACTTCTTAAACATGGCAAAATCATTAGCTACCTCTGAAAAATACTATTTTAAGGTATGACAGATAAAATTTATTGGATATATGAAATAGATAATTTTTTTAATTCCGATATATTTTATATAGGTTTTAAAATTACTGCGAAATTTTCCTTCTTACTGTACTGAATTGTTATGGCCATATATCTCAGATGCAGTTTATTCAGATGAAGAAAAAGATTTGTTTCTGGGAACTGATAGATTTAAAATCCCAAAAGGCACTTTAACAGAGAGGTGTAACTGTTATGGTGTAGATATGTTGAAGTTCTACTATAAATATAACTATTTTCAAGTTATAGAGCAGTATATGAGATCTCTAACTATGTGGGTCATAAACACCGGAGAATACAATAAATTTATCCTAAATTGTGTGTTAAAAGCTTATACTTTCTTAAGTTTTCTAATTAAACATTATAGAGGAAATTTTTGTGATGATCAAGATATCAGACCTTTGCTCAAGAGACTTGACTGTGTCCCGACATATTACAATAAGGGCGGGTTTAGGAGCTACGAATTTTTCTATGTATTTTTTGAAGTGAAGTGCAGCCTCTTCATACATCACAATGTAAATTTCCAAGAAGCTTTTCCACTAATAGTGCGGAAATCGATGTTCCCTTCTATAACAGATTATAATCTCTCGCAAAGTGACCTTAAAATAATGCACACATCTGAAGATTCGATTTTGTATAGTTTTCTGAGAGAAGAAGAAAGAAAGAGAGATCACAAATTATTATTAAAATATACTGAAATTGTTTTAGCTGTTTTAAAAGTAAGAGAAATAATAAAATATTGATCAGAAATTTCAGTATTATTTTTTTTAGCAAAAAATTATGTACAAAGAAGTACTCTACGGTGCCTTGTGGTACGTACTAAATGTTGTTTTTTTAACCCACCAACAATGGAACTATGATGAAGCAGATCAGTTTCAACAAGTTAAAATATTAAATAGTAAGTTTCCTACATAATTAAAATAAAATGCCTTGATTATTGATTTCTTTTAGCATGTACTAAGATTTTTATTACCGTTCTCCAAGAAAATTACGAGGATTTGCGGAACCAAGATGAAAAAGCCTTATTTCATCTTGTCCGAGACTCGTTTCTTAACAACGAATGCGTTATCAGCAGCCTATGCAGCGTTTTCGTCAAAGACAAATTTTATTTACAAAACTTGATGCATCAAGAATCAAACTGGATAGCCGGTTCATCTTTGGTCGTTATTGATACAGTTAAGGCTGAACTAATTTTACTGCATCTCATTTTCAAGTGCAGGATCAAAATGTCTGATGTACCACACTGTATTATTGATGGGAAAACACACACGCTTGCTAAGTCGGCTAGTTTATATTTTGTTAATCCTTATAACTGTACTTTGGTAGTACTGGCAGGCAAATTTTTAGACGTTTTAGCGATGGTATGTACTTTTCTGAGCGATCATAAAGGATTTAAAAAAAAACCTAATATTTTAGAACGATAATATTCCTTTAATGTCTTCTCTTGGACTGGACTTGGATCAAATCCAAACACTATTCTTGGAGCGTTTGAGAGATCCTATGGAGGATGATGATGTTAAAATAAACATTTTAGATCTTATCAGCACCTGTATTTTGCATCAAACTGGCATGACAGCTGCTTTTTTCAACATTACTGCCGCTAAAAAATGGTATGATAATGAGAGCAAATCGAAAAACATTGAAAGAGATACGGTTCCTAATTTTATGATTGATTATCTAGATAATATTGAAAAGGTAGGTAAACATACCAGAATACAAAATACAGTATAGTTATTTTTTTTATTATTATAGTCAGTAGCTTATTTAAAGAGCCCTTTACAAGTTGGTATCTTGAGAGTGATGGCTATACTTTGGCAAAGCCAAAAACAGCACTTGGTTAAAGAAGTGACTGAGTTACCGCATTTTTGGAGCTTGCTCTGTGCCCCTCTTTACAAAAATTTCGAACAAGCTCCTTTGGTATATTATTATATTATTAAAATACTCAGTATTCAACTGATGAATAAGTCGGCGAGAGACGGAAAGGAAGAATTATTTTATAAGGCCCTAGAAAAATTTTTTTTGAACCAAAGACAGTTAAGATTGTTTCAGCAGTATTTGTATAAGATGTTTTCCAAACAAGATATGGAAAAGGAACATCTGGAGTTTCGGAGGATGCTTATAGAGGCCTGGGCAGAACTACTAGTAAATGTGGAGAAACATAAGAAAATTTCGCATTTTCCTAGCAGTGAATGTCGGTATTTTTTTGTAGAATTATGTCTAGATGGAGTTAGAAATAATTTGATACATGAGAACATCCTTAGTACTTGGTTAGAGTTTGTTTTAGTCATTGTAGATATGTTTGGTTTAAAATTTGAACAGAGATATGAAGAGATATCAGAAAAATCAATCAATTTTGCTAAAATTATCAACATATATTACGAAAATATGTCAGTTAAAGACAAAGTAGTGTCACTCACTATAATTCTGAGAATAATTAAGGAATTAAAGGCGAGATATGATGCAAACCCAGATGAGTTGGCGAAGCTCCTTGACGAAATCGGTCCTTTAATGGACACTGAACATACTCTGTTAGAAGAAAAGATTTTGACTATGCTGAAAGAGTGCCATCCTTCCGCCGCAGCTACCATCGCCCCATGGGCCATGTTCATTTCAATAGCGAACTACATCTTGACTTTAGATAACTGCGATTATTTCACTGTCTGGTTCTCTAACAGAAAATATTTGGACAAAATGATTAAATGCACTTGCGATCTACTCACGTACAAGGAATCTTTAAGTGCAGGCAAGGTTGCTCTGTATAGTTTAACGTTATATGTTCAGTCTTCATTGGCTTACGACTTTTTGAAAGTTAATATGCTGCAGTTTTATGACAAAGTCGAACCAATGGTAAACAAATTACTCACGGGACAATTTAGTAAAGTGAGTTAGTTATACGGGGTGCGCCTAAAAGTTTGCGTGAAATGGTTTTTCACATTTTTCAATTTTTCATCAAAAAATAGTTGATAAACTGACCTGTATATTTCTGGAACTTTTTATATAATAATTTTCTGAATATACAGATAAAATTCTGAACAACTTTTCTCTGAGACTTTTTCCTGTACTTATAAAGGATTTTTTTAATAACTTGGTAATAACAAAATCCCATTTGGTGCGCACTTCTTGGCACACTCTGTACATAGAAGTTAAAGTTACCCGTTATTGAAAATCGTTTATTTTTTAGGTAAACGTTCTAGACCTAAAAGAAGCTTGGTTATTGTTTACTCTTTTGATAAAATTCAACCAAGCCTTTATCAAAAAATTTAGGAAAAGTGCCTTAGACATATGCTACGCTTTTTTAACTTTAAACGAACATATTATAAAACATATAATTAATATACCTCAGAATACTGTGGATACGAACGCTTTGGATTTATTAATGCAGACCTTAGTTTTTTACGACGAAATTTTGGAGCACTGGAACATAGAATGGTACAGGAAAAGTAATAAAACTTATTCCCTCATGATTGTAAGTGTTTTTCTTAATGATCCTTTACAGATTTAGGTTATTACTTGTTTTTAGGATGGCATTCGCAGAGTGATAAATTGTTGCATTTATCTTTGTTTAAGACCGAAACATATAGTTTATTATTTCTTAGATAATTATTACAGGTTGTTACCTCTAGATAAAATGGAGGAAAGTAACGAACTTATGATAGTATCAATGAATAGACTGATTGGAATTTTAGGATTGTCATTTAATTGTTTATATAAATTAAACATAAGTTTGCTAGAGATGTTCGATTTTTTGGAGCCTGAAGAATCCATTACCATTCTCATTGAGAATGACTTCAGTGTCCCACGTTTCGAACTTCCAATCCCTTGCGAATTGACTTACGGGAAACTCCTTTGTTTGGCACACTTCCTTTGCAAGACCATCAACCAGCTTAAGGAAAAACGACCCAAAAAAATGATTAAAGTCAAAGAGGAAAAATATAAATACTATATAGGTTTGGTTGAACATCAGGATCCGAGCGAAAACATACCGAATGAAAAATTAAGTTCGTTTTTAAGATACCTTGCAGAAGATTCGGGTATGTTAATGGTTATGCATCTTAAGTGAGATCTATACTGCTCCATTTTAGGTTTAGTAGATCCATGGATAAACCACCTGCATCCTGACAATGTACAAAAAACTGCAGATGTATTGATGTTATTTACAGCCCAACAAACGTTTTTAACATTAAGGGTATTGGAGCCTCATCAGATAATGTATTATAAAAGGAACCTGTCGTCTGAATTGCAATTTTTCAATGAGTTTGTGAAGAAGCAAACCTCCGAATTGCTAGACAGTTCAAAATTGACATCGAAAAGTCAAGTGTCTCCCTACAAAGCTGATATGGACATAATAAAACGTTATTTGCTTTATCACTGGGAGCATAAGAAACAGAATGATGTATGTAACCAAAACTTTTTGTTGATTATTTCATATTGGTTTTCTAATATTTGTCAAATTCAGTAGATACTAAAAATAAAGAGATTTTTGTAAATTATTAAAATAAAATTGTTTTTTAGAAGCACATTTTTTTTCCTTAAAAATGTTGGAAATATTGGAAATAAAAGTTTAAATACTCTTAACTATATTTAGCCTCCTCAATATTAGAATACAGTAACATACTTACATTGATACTAAAAAAAAACAAATTGATTTTCACATAATTTATACATTTTATATTCATATATTAGAAAGAAACATCATTGACTTGGTAAATTGGATAATCTAATAAGAAAATTTAGTGATTTACAAAATATATATTATATATAATATATTAACTATATATTTTCTTAACATAAAGATTAAAACAGTAAGCGGTTTTTATTGCAAAAATTTCTATTCTTACCGCTCATTTTTGTGCAAAAGGCATGTGCAGAAATACAGCAGTTTTTTAGATAAATTGCATAAAATTGAAGTAAGATTTTTTCATCTAGACTTAAAACCTTTTTTAACAGTCATAAATACATATGTGAATATTTAAAAAAGCGAAAGTATATGGAAGTTTTTTTTTAAATATCCCAAGTGAAAAAAAACACTTAGTATATATTGTAGAACTAAGGAATATATGCTAAACATCCATAAACATACTGTGATTTTTTTTCCTACATCAAAACAAAACTCTACATTCTCTAAATAGTATTTAGTCTAAAAATATCTCAATTTAAACCTAAAGTTTCACAAATTAATACATAAAACTCTAAAGAAAATTATGGTCGAATAAGCATTTTAGCACTCAGTAGTAATAGACATTTATTTCTCTTCTTATTTATAAAATATATAAATAAATAATATAATCCATACCAAAAACGAAAATATTCTCTAAAATTGGTGTGCCCTTTTTTATATCCACACATACTACAGTATAGTCAAAAAATTAATTTATCGAAAGGATTTAATTTTCCTCAGCTATGAATATTAAGTTTAGTCTTAAGTTTTTTTGACTGGTTTCTTTACTTGGGCATTTTTCTGATAATGCAGCAATTTTACTTGTGTCTAGCCCTAGCAGGCAACTATTAAGCCCGACCAATCACGTTAGAGTTTTTGACAAAAACCAATGATTTAACACACTCCAAATAACCACGCTAACCAACCTGATTGGTCAAGCTTAATAGTTGCCTGCTAGGGCTGGACGCTTCTGCAATTTTTGACTATACCTTCTTTATTTCAATTATATATAAGTAAAACTGTAGGATGTGTTTATTTCATAAGTGGTAAATTTCACAGATAGCTAAACATTTATACAATGCAAAAAGGTGTACTATTAAATGTAATTAGTTTTTTTACATTACCCTACAAATATACTGTAAACTGTCCGTAAGATAAAATAAAAAAATAAACCCACTAATGATAGTCGTCGCACTGGGAAAACATTAGTTTAAGTTTTCAAACACTATAAGCAATACAGTAAAATCGCAGTTAACTTTACTTCTCCATAATGCTTCTAATGTATAGAGTCCACTAAAGGTGTCTATATAATGAAAGCCATCCATGTTTTATTAGAAAAATCTTTTTTTTTTGTAAAATATTACTCAAAGATTTTTTTAAATAGGCAGTATAATACATTTGATATAATTAAAGGATGGGGTGATATGGTATTATGAAAATAAATATAGTAGCGCTTTATGGAGAAAATTTCACTGAGTAAAACTTCAAGGTTTTTCTATGCACGTACTGAAGAGGAGAAAACAAAATGTTTTTTGGTCAAAATATATACCATGACTTGGGGAGTCTGAGCGTCTTAAAACTGAGAAATTTTCTTCATTTAAGTAATCCTTTGAAAAAAGGAGAAAAAACTCCATATTTTTATACAGTTTCGTGTAGAACTCGCTAAATCTCTGTAAGGGTTTATTACTTTTTTTATTGATTTGCTTCCTGCTTCAGTATGTGTATAGGCCAAAAATTGTCAATTTTCCTTCCTTCTGGGAAATTTTAACGTTTATAAATGCATATACCTAGTACAGGGTTACAGAAACTATCACGTTAACTCCTATTCCTACTATAATCAAAAATGAAGGTAAATCCTTCACAAACTATTTAATGGGGAAACAAGTAGCACTATCATAAATGACAAGTTTATCATATAAAAGTTAACTATATTTTTCAACAACCCTGTATATCAGCAAAAACATTACCTTTAAATGTCGAACATTTTCTTTTTATTTAATATTAAACTAGCCACTTTTACGGAACTATATGAATATGAACATGTTTTTGAAAAAACTACAGGCATCTACTTAATACCAATGCATTTTATTATTAAACATTCTAATTTACAAAAAACGGGCGAATATTTCTAGCAAATTTGAATTGTTGTCTATCAAATTTATTGGCTTTGAGCAAAAACACCAAATATCAACAAAGAAATGTAAAATAACATTTACTTTATCACTAGAGGACTAGAGTCCAGTTTATCTGATTCTAAAGCCATTCTTCTTATGTTTTGAATAACACTAATTGCCAAATATACATCAAAAATTAGAAAAAGGATAAACTGGATTTCAAAAGTGTCATATATATGTCGATTATTAATTATATAATTTTTCTTTAAAAAATATATTTGTAGTTTCTTTAATAGATATTAAATTTTTAGCAAAATTGTTGTCATTTTGTTAGCTTCTTTTACAATAATTAATTTAACAGTTAATTGGTGATTTTGCAGTTATTCAAATTTTTGTAAATAGCTTTATAGAAAAATAATGTGATGAACTAAATAATTAAATGAAATGACAGTTACTGTTGCTTGTGTAAGAAAAAGTATCCAATGAGAACAAATACAATATGACCGAAAAAGAAACGGCGTCAGCGATGGCTATGAAATGAACACCGCTGTCATTTTGTATGTAAAATTATGTGAGAACTGTCATCGATCGTCATTTCCAAGCCAACTGGACGCCGTTTTTTTTTCCGATCATATGGTATAATGTTATATATCCATAAAACAAATTAAACAGTCGTCCATTTAAAGATAAAAAAATGAGCAATAAATTAAACTAAAGAGACAATCTACATATGTAAAACATTTTAATACTCAACACAAACCATGTACAGGGCGATTAAAAAATCTATATGCTCTCAAGACAGTATTTTATGGAAAATACCTTTTTTAAACGGTTAAAAATTAAAATAGGGCAGCATATTTGTTATTGCACTTTTTAAGATGTTAACTTAAGGCCACTTTATTCGGAACTTCTTCTACTTATAGAAAATCTTTATCAAAACTATGCCCTAAAGTATTGTATTTCTATTCATTGTAATTGGTGAAGTTCCATTTTTTATAGTATCGACGAAAGTAATTATAGATTAATCGTCTTGTATTTTTAGCACTTCTCAATTTCTATGGTGCTCGATTTTTTTCACACCCTGTTTTCGAATTTATAAATATGAGAAAAAAATAGGACAGAAAGAATAAAATGACTGCGAAAAATTACTTTAAAATATTGTCAAATAACGACTACTTAACACCACTGCTTATGTTTATAAAGATAACTTTTCAAAAACTTTAAATATAATTTTTCTACACTTCTTACGAATGGAAGACTGAACATATCAAATAATTTCTTATAATGATTTTTGGAAATACATCTAAATTTCTAACGTAAAAAGTCCTTATCTTTGTTTTTGGTACATGTAAATATTTGGTACAAAAGAACTATTTGCATAAAATTCATAAATTCAACAAACCAAAATTTGAGTAAATATGAATTTATTGCGTATCGTTCTAGTGCACCTTCAACACAGGGTGGTACAGTTCAATGAAAATGTGATTGTTTTAAAAGAAGTTGGAACATCGTGCATAGGAAATAGATTTTAGCATGAATACAAGTCTAAAAATCTTTACATCCCACAACAGATTATTTGAAGAACATCAAATTAGCTACTTAAAAGCACCAAGGAGATTACTATCACAATGACATGAAGGTCACAATCTACATATATAACTTTGCAGAAAAAACTGTCTCCCACTGCCAGTAAATAAGACACCAAAAATATTCTCAAAACATTAAGATATAAGCAGTGGTGGATATAATATTAGTAAAACTGCTTTGAATAGGCAAGGGAATTTAGGTTTGAATTCTGAATGTATAATATTGTCTTCTGGCCATCCTCTAAAATACCTTGTTTTAACTATCTTCTATTTGACACCACAGTTTGGTAGTATTTTATATACCCTATCTCTAAAAATGCCTCTAAATAACCTCAATCTTAGACGAATTATGGACAGCTGAATTTATTATTAAATATGAAAAAAAGAACAATTAATACAAGGGGTACATTTATGTTTTTTTTTTGAAAAAAATTTAAATGTGTATTTTGTTTATGTGTATGTATGTTATTTGTGTGTTTCTTGCACTGCAAGTCCGCACTTGCCTCACGCTTATTACACTTTTACACAAAAGTCTTCAAAAAAGTCTTGAATTTTTTTTAAATGTACTTTTTGGTTCCAAGTGTAGTTACTTTACAAGAGCGCACAGATCGATTTCTTCTTTTGCTTCTGTTTCTTCTCCGGCGATTTTTTATTTATTTGTCGTACTAGATCGTAAAATATCTGAAATAAACAAAATGCATTTAGCGCCATTTTGGGCAACACAAAGGATCAGTAATCGAGTTAATCAAATTTCCCCTTGATTTCAGTCAGTTTGATTGACGCAACTTACATCATTAACCATTATTTTTGCTTTGGCAGAGGTTTCCATGAAGGCACAGTTAAACTGGCGTGACAAGCTACTTCCTTGCTCCTTGCCAACCACTCTTTCATCTTCTAAATCACATTTGTTACCAACTAGTACCATTGGTACATCGTCAGTATCCTAAAATCATAATTTATTATCAAAATCGTAATTTTTTCCATAGTCCATTTTTTTAGGTCTAAAATGTTATCTTTCCTTATACGTAAGTTATATAATATTGTAAATTATTTATTGATGTGTCCCATCTGTAATCTCTAGTCATAAAAAACAAACATTTTAGAAACAAGTCTATTTTAAAACGGATAAATGACAGGAAGTGACAACAGGAAAAGCCCATGGAATATGGGTATTTTTTAATCTTTTGTGATAATACTAAATTTTTCGAAACAAAATTATAAATAAAGTTGTTTAAGCTATTTAATACGTTAAAATGACACTTAAATTATTAAATTGAAGCAAAACCAGAAATATACGTTTTTATGAAAACTTTAATATACTATAGTACTAATATAATATAATAAATATAATACATATATAGTCGGTTCTTTGGTACATCTATAAATAGTACAAGATAATATTTAAATAATATGTAACATAATCTACCAGGAAAAACAAATATATAGGGGCATGGAATAGATTAAATATTTTTTTATCAAACTGTTTGGCAGAGTTTAGTGGTTATTGAGAGGATATTATGGCACAAATATTTCGCGATATTATATTTTTATTTATAATATTGTCATGTTCTTATTTTATATTTTATTACTAGACTAGCTTTAATATGTTTATTATACAGAATTAATCCCTCCTATACCCTATGTATTATGTATAATTGTATAATAACATTAACATTTTCTCATTCATGTTAAACAATTATTGTTAATAGTAATAAATGATCTGACTAAGAGATTCTAAAAATATATGCACCTATCAACCAATTATAAAAAATGAGTCACTTCAAAAATTCTTTTTGTTAGTCAATGCTGTAAAGAAAATTTGTAATTAATGGAAATTATTAAAGGTGACTTACCTTGACTCTTAAAATTTGCTCTCTGAGGTCTTGCAGATCATTAAAAGTAGATTGTGCCGTTATTGAATAGACCAAAACAAACCCTTGACCATTTTTCATATATAAGTCTCGCATAGCAGTAAATTGTTCCTGTTTTAAAATAAATAATCTATTGTTAGTACTGGGAAAGTATACAAAATGTAAATAAAATTTAATATATCAGTCTTTTGCAGATCCTTATAAGTTATGCCATTTAGTACAAAGAGTAATTCATATTATAGAAAATATTTTTAGAAAACTTTTGGCATTATACTAATAGGGGCAATATTTCTGATACAAATTAAATTAGCATTAAAATTAGAAAGTTTTTCAATACTTACTGTTCCTGCAGTATCTAAAATCTCTAACATACATTGTTGACCATCAACTTCCACCTGTTTCCTGTAACTATCTTCTATAGTAGGATCATATTTTTCTACAAATATACCTTGAACAAACTGTACTGTTAAAGCTGATTTACCTACACCCCCTGACCCAAGTACTACAATTTTGTACTCCCGCATATTTTTTTAATTTATTTTTCTTATCCTACCTAAAAATTAAAATCAGTTCAGGGGAGAATTTCAATATTATAATTTAAGGTAAAAAACACACTGGTCTTAGGTTTAATTATAACCTTGTTAACATAGGTATTTTATTTGGAATCATTAGGCACTATTAAATATCCTTTAATTAAAATGTGCTCTTTATAGCTTGTGAAGGCTACAGTTTGCATGTAGAATAATATATTTTTATCAACTCTCAAATTTATGAAAGGAAGTCATTTTTTATTAGTGTAATTATGAAAATGAATGAAAATAATAATTCCTTTAAGATTTGTATTAATCAAATAGTAAATTCTGGTAAAATGAATCATACTATTAGGAAAAACAAGCAAGTCCTTGGTTGTATGCTACATTAAGTTCTTTTTGTTCTGATGGCAGAGCAGAAATAGAGCCAAGAGACATTGGTTTTTATAACACACACCAAGAGGAATATTTAAAAAGCACTACACAAATATGCTGCATCTATTGTTAAAAATTGTACCAATACACTTCAATTTACACTGTCATGGCTCAACAAATTCTATTCTCATAACTCATATCCGCACTCACTTTATTAAACTGATACTAATTTATACCACATTATGGAATATTTAGCTTGTTTTCACTGATATTTTTAAACTTACCGTGTATATTTTACCGTTATTATTGTATCGGGCGATGCCGAATTTCAACAAATTAATCCAACTTAATAAATATGCGATAAGTCAACTCTTATAAGTTGAAATCTACTGCTGACGATTGGCACACCGCTGTTTGAAGCGCATGCCGCGCCCGACTCCACAGCCGATATTATTTACTGAACTCCTACGTCAATAAGCTACTGGTGGCTATACCACCATAAAATTTTTGAACCAAAACCACTAATTACATATATATCACCATAATTACTGAATTACGATCGTGAAATATTTCTAGGTGAAATTACAATTATTGTAAACATCAATCCCACACAGAGACAGACATTTGCATTTTAGTTCAACAAAGCACCACCGAGGCCGCTATGTTCCTCGAGTCTCGATCAAGTTATGTTTCCTCCGCCACCCTTTTTAATAAACAGAAAATACAAGCCATTAAAATGAGTAATGTGTGAGTAATTAATTTCATCATATGATAAGTTTTTGGGGGTATAGCGTTTTTGGGTATACCAGTTATTGTTTTAGAATATAAAATAAATTATTTTTCACATATTTAATTAATAGACATATCGACTTTGATATCGATATTCTTTTTCAACTCTATGATACTCCGATATCTCGTATGCTCGTACGTCGTACGATCTTTGGTACGATGTCACGTGTCAACCACAGTGTCAACGTGATGTCAACTGCTGACAACTGAATCAACCTGCTCAAATTTGCTGTCCTCCTTTCACGCAGTTGAGCAGCTCTGAACTGTTCAAGAACGCGATACTCTCACTCCATTCAATTGAGTCATAAAGTTCAGAACTGTTCCGCGCCATTATTGCTGTCCTCCTTTCACGCAGTTGAGCAGCTCTGAACTGTTCAAGGTTACAAGTTTAATTAGGTTAACTGTTCTTGACCTAACCCTATCATGTAAAGTCCCCCTATCCCTCCTATATCTCTGAAAGTCCCATAAAGACAATACTAAAGAATATACACCATAGGCGTAGTCAAAACATTTATCAAAAATATAAATATCCCTTCAACCAGCTAAATTAAGAAAAAAATATGGCCACTGCACTGTTTGGTGCCATGGCAGCAATCACAAGTAGCAATTTGCTCTCGGGTGTTATTTGTCCTTGACAAAAAGATGTTTTTTCTTCTTGTTTCTTCTTATCTCTACCAGCTATCAGTTAGTTATTCTATGTCTACCAGTCTCTACCCTCCATATCTGACGGTTACAAAATTTAATTTATTACTTACTGTTACGCTTATTAGACTTATTTAGTTTATTATGTTCTCAGATTATATGTTCTCTGTGATAAAGGACAAGAAAATAACCCACGATTTAAATTTGGCGGGAACTGTGGTTTGGAGTTGAAGAGTTGCACGGTACGGGTAGACCAGATATATATCTTTGAGCTAGGCTAGACGCACGGGTCCTTGTATTCTTTGTCAATGACCTGCTATCAACAGGCATTTATCTTTAGTGTGTTCTGTGGCATTTATATTTTTCCTGTGACTGGAAGAGCCGTTTCTAAATAAATGTCACTGGATTTTAATTATACATTTTTAACTAAATTATTTCCGTGTATAAGTTCCATTAAATAGGAAAGCAGTATTAAAAATGTAATGTCACATAAACTCCCTTCTAGTCGTGTTTAATGAGAAATTGTCCTCATTCCTCTTACTATTGCAGCTTTTTGAGAAGAGACATAAACTGTGGACCATCTGTGGACTGTGGACCAATGCTGTGGACCATAGAGAGTGCGTTCCACTAAGCGCTCATAATGCTCAAAATATGCCTTCGGTCGTTCCACATGACGATCGCGGACGTTGTGGTCGCGGCGTAAACGTCACTAATGACGTCATTATTTTCGCTCACACCGAGCTCACAACGACCCATCTGAATATTATAGGATCGAAGTGGACGTTGAGGAATTTGGCGCAATTTTTAAATTTAGACAAAAAGATTATCGACTCAGGATAAAAATTTTCATAGATTCTCATAGCCAATAATACGTGGCCTAAGTGTTCGCTTTTTACGTCGCGATTTTGTAAAATTGCATTCTACTATTAATTCGTCTGAACTAGATGAAGAAGTTTCAGACACATTCCGATGCACCAAATATCCAACTGTCGCCAAAGACATTTTGATTTCTTTTTTTTTAGACAGATTTTTTGAATTCTCTTCTGTGATTTTGACTATTATTTACTATTTATTTACATACATTGACAGGATTGATGCTTAAAACGCCCCATAACCCATTCCACTTGAGTTTATGATTGTAACGCTCGCAAGCAAGTGGAACGGGAAAAATCGCGATCTTGAGCGTGAACGTTATGAGTGCTTAGTGGAACGTACTCAGAATAACCACAGAACAGATACAAATGAATAACCAATTGTGGACTTATGCTGTGGACGTAAATAAAATGACTCCCTGTCGCGGTCCCTGTACATAAATATCTGTCATTTGTATATTGTTGTTATGCTTTAAATACCTTGGAAGTCTGTGAAAAACATGTATTATTTAAAAAATTGTGGATAAAATCAATACACTTGTTTGTCGTTTAAAAGTCGTGTCAAAATTTACTGGAAAATGTAGTTTTTTATTGAATAGTTATCTCTAAAAATGATTCCTGTTCGTATATTTTCAAAGGATTGAAGTAATATGGGTTGGTTAAGCTGCTGCGAATGCAAATCAAAAGAAGAGAAAATTACAGAGTTAGATTTTTCACGTTGCGGAATATCGGAAGTACCAAACGAAGTTCACGCTAATTCGCCCACTTTAGAAGTACTACATCTGGAAGGGAACAAGGTAATGCGTTTATATTAAATAAGTTAAAATTGTGGTCAATCTAGACTTTTAAATTTTCAGCTAAAAGATTTGTCTCCTCAGCTGTTCCAGTGCATAGATCTAAGATATTTAAATGTTAGTGATAATGAAATCCGAGCCATACCACCACTAATTTCAAAATTATCCAATCTACAGGTGTTGATATTCAATAAAAACGGTAAATATTAGATGATATCTATGTTTCATCAGTTTACCAAAAGATCCATTAGTTTTAGATGGGGTTCATCCAAACTTGAATAAGCTCAGCAAACTAACAATGCTAGATTTGAGTATGAATGATCTTGGGAAAGTTCCTGAGGCTATAATGAGTCTAATTAACTTGCAGCAACTATGCCTAAACGATACTGGAATTGACTTTGTACCCGCTAATATTGGGAGACTTTGTAATTTAAGGATTTTGGAGTTAAGGGATAATAATTTATGTGAGTTACCGAAATCCATTCGAAGGTTGACAAATTTACAAAGACTTGACGTTAGTGACAACAATTTATCCAGCTTGGTAACTATTCACATACTTATTCACATACATTATTCATTAGTATATATAAATTTGTTTTAGACTGAAGTGTGTGAGTCACATAGTAGTTTAACAGAGCTATGGATTAATGGGAATAATATAACTGAACTTTCTGTATCAATTACATATTTAAAGAAGATAAATGATTTTGATGCCTCGTATAACAATTTAGAATCTGTGCCAAAGGAGATTGGTCATTGGACCAAAATAACAAATTTAATATTAAGTTTCAATAATATTTCGACACTACCAAAGGCCATAGGTAATTTAAGGAATCTTCAAGTCTTAAAATTGGAGTCCAATTATCTTGAAGAATTACCAAGTACCATTTGTAAATTAATTAATTTAGAAGAACTGAATTTGCAAAATAATTTCTTAACTAAAGTGCCTAGTAGTATAGGGCATTTACGAAAGTTGGCTACATTAATTTTGTCTGATAATAAATTGCAATGTTTACCCCCAGGTACTGACTACATTACTTATTATTTATTTAATATCAGAACTAACATTTTTTCTTTGTGTAGAAATTGGCAGTTGTTGCGAATTATCAATACTAAATGTTCATAACAATTATTTAGAAAAACTTCCCGAAGAAGTAGGTCATTTACAACATCTAACAACGCTGGGTGTTATTGGTAATAGGCTTTCCTATTTACCATTGACCATATCTAAATTAACAAATCTAAAAGCATTGTGGCTTACACCAAATCAGACACAGCCATTAATTCACCTACAAAACGAACAACTGCCTGATGGCCAAGTAGTCCTGACATCTGTTGTGTTTCCCCAAACGCCATTAAATGAACCATCTGTGCCATTACCCAGTTTGGGAAATCATAAAAGTCACATTAGCTTTAATACAGAAAGAGCTGATGTTGATATTACGACTAATACAAGTATTTCATTGAACCGCACACCTACACCTCATTACAAAGAATTGAAGAGGTTGAGGGAAATATTGAAGAACACTCATGTACCAGGTATAAATTAATTTATTTAAATTATATTTCTTATGCCTTATCTACGCATTACGTTTTACCTGTCCCTCAAAACTTATCATGTTAAACTTTGTGTGTAGTAGAAAAACGAACCATTTTACTTGAATCAAAATTAAGATGGGAGACCATCTAGAGAGCTGACCGGATCATTCAGTTTTACAACAAAACTGTCGTTTCGCCTATACTGAAAAATATATAAGTAAATTTATAAAAAAATCGCAGGTAAAACTTCCAGTGTGTACACTATTTTAATCCGTCTTCCCTGACAGGTAAAATGCTATGTGTAGACGGGGTTTTACAGACCTGTTACTTCACTTTCAATGTTAAAATTTATCATTATATTTTTTTAGTTAATCAAGTATTAAATGTGTCTGAAATTAAAGAAGCTAAAGTGACTCATATATCGGGCGATTTAAACATCTCGCAGGCGAGTTTAAATAACGGACAAGAACCACAACCGACTGAAATATTGGAACCCGCGAACGAACATGCTAATGCAGGCCCAAAACAGCCTCCTCCATATCATATTGCAGCGGCGTATTCCAAAAACGCTCATTTGTTTGCATACGGTCCTCCCAGTCCACATGATCAACCAAAGAGATTCAGCCAACAGCAACCCTCCAATATTCATATGCCTACCCCGAAAATGGCTACAAGACATCAGATGTTAGAGCCCAATAAGTCTAATGATATACAAATGCTGGAAAGGTAAAAGGTTTTAATTTTTAAAGTATACTGAAACTATACATACAAATAAAATTGATTGCCATCCTTAGGTCCTTTACCTTGTTGTTATTTATTAGCATTAAATATTATTCTAAATTAGGGATGGTTGAGTGAAAAAAATTGTTCTATATCTATACTTGAAAAGCAAGGGGCAGATAATGATGTCTTCATTCATTCAATATATTTACTTGTGATATACTGTCTTAAATACTCCTTACGATCTCTATTATTTGTTTACATTCAGCTGTGTATATTATACATTATTACTAATATAAATTATTATGAGTGACTGGACGTTATTACCAATAAGTAAATGGACTGTGTGACTTTAAAGGCTTTATAGGAATATTTATCACTATCTTGAAAATCTCTATTGAAAATATTAATTTTCTTAAACCTAAAAACCTTAATATTGTGTTTAGAACTGTTTATCTAAACCTTAGTCTAATGGTACGTACGAACGCGCGGCGCGCGCTCACCGATTGGCCTGTATTGGTATTGGTACGTGTTTTCAGGTTGTGCGCGCTCTGCACGCAAATTGCTTGCCGCGAACCATCTCTAGTCGGTTTTTCGACGCTCCACTAACGCGCGCATTTATCAGTGACTATGTGTGTTTTCTTTGAATGAATACCTTTTTTGTGTTTTTCTTTGAATATTGTTTATTAAGGGAGTATTTAAAGAGCCGAACTACTCATCACTAAAATTGCGTAGTTCCTCTCAGACGATAGAGACATGATTAACGGTTAGACGAATGTTCGCGAGATTTCTATGGATCGCGGAATGTTCGTTAAAACAATAAAAGTAACGCGTGGACAAGGCACGGCGCAGCGCCCCAATGTATACGTACCATGAGATCTAAACTCCATGCAAGTTAAAATTAAAATACCTATATATTTATTTGTGATATACCGTTTTCACTCTGTTAAGCTCCGTCTACACATAACCTTTGCCTATCAGTTTGGCCGTGTCAGGTAAAACATATTTGGATAAAACGGAAGACCGTTAAGAGAACCGACGGCAGTTCAGTGACGGACTTCCATCTTAGCCGAATCTACAGATAACATTATGCCTGTCAGTTAAGACGTATTAAAAACTAGCGTACAGACTGGAAGTTTTACACCTGGGATTTTATCAATTATTGCATTGTGTTTAGTGAAGTTGAAAAGAAAAAAACTTTAAATAAAATTGTATATATGGTTTAAATTTTATTTGTAAACACGCTATGCTAATTGTGAAAATAGTATATATTGTTTGGTAATGATCATTAAATAAATCTAAGGAATTTCGTAAAATTATATTATTTTGGGTAACTGAGCAAAAATATTTAATTTTTAACAGTAGCTTATTATTGAAGTTGCTGTAATATATCCATATTCCATTTTGTAAATTTATTTATATTTTTTTCAGTGTAGGCAAAACGACATTCAGTTTTGTTGTAAAACTCAAAAATCCCGTCGCGTCAGTTTCTCTAGACTTTTTTCGTCTTAATTCACTTCCAGCTTCCAGTAAAACAAACCGCATCTTACGTCTACACATAAGGTTTTACTTGATACGTTTTGTCTGACATGTAAAATGTTATGTGTAGGCGGGACTTTATTTTCCTAATAATTTTTTATGAGGCTCATCACGATGGTAAGCTTTAAGATGCCATTAAAAATATTTTTATAGATCATATTTATGTGTTTTTTCTAACAAATCTAAATGTATTTGCACTTACAAGTAATTTCAGTGTAAATATCTTTGTGTATTCAGGTCTTTTCGAAAAGTCTTAAAATAATGTTAGCGAATTATTAACTATTATATAAGAGTTTTATCTTATTATGCGTGTAAATGTTTACGTTACCATTTTATAAACCTAATTTAGGAAATCGTGGCCATTTGGACAACACACAATATACAAGGTTATGGAAATTGAAATGCCCGAATTTCATGAACCTGGGGATTTTCAGATTGTTGCAAAAAACGATGTAAGTACTCTTATGAGCTTGGTGGAGGGATTTTCAATCCTCAACTCGTGACATTGTAATTATTTTGGGGGTTAATATACGGGGTGTATTTTAAATAAATGCAATAAGTATGTTAAATAATTTCTATTTGCCATTTTTAAAATAAATTATAAATAGCCGAATTTCGTTTCTTTGAGTGGAAATATACTACCAGTTAAAATACTTAATTTAAATAAAACTAATTTATTTAAAAGACACCTTGTAAATCGTTGCATTCAAATCACTATTGTTCCAAACAAAACCCTATTATTCGTATTTTAAATTAATTTGAAAGAGCTAGAAAATTAAAGCTTATTGCTTAGGGTATATTCGTTGAAGAAGTTAACGTCCAGGGAGCGATGTACGAAAAATTGCATCCGGATGATAAAATTCTGGCATTCGACGACACTGATTATACTAACATAGATCCATTGGCGGCATACCAAGACGCCACACGTAAAATAGGTAATGTAAGGATAGTTATTATATCCCGCAAACAGAAATCATAGTATATTTATTATATTTACTTTTATAGATGCTTAAAACCTTGTTTTTGTTTTTTTTTTAAAAATCTGGATTGCAATGATAGGACAATTTTTAATTTGTCTGGATTTTTAATATAGCTTCTCGACAAGGCGAAATATTTTTAATAATTTTATTTTCGGATTTTAACATATATTTTCGTATGCTTCAAGTAGATACTTGTAATTTGTAATACTAATTTTTGAGAAAGAAATGGTTTCCCCAGTCCTTATTCCCTTCTGTAATTATATTCATTCTACAACTGTATTTGAAACAAAGGCAATTTTGTATTTTTAATTTGTTGAACTTGTCTTTAAATTTACAGGAATATGACAGTTTTGCATCTAGTAATTGACAATAAAATTAGTTATTTTTTTTAATAAAATAAATTTGTTGTCATTTACTGGAAGGTGTCTAAGACTGAATGATATATTTTATGGTTTTAATTTCGAAATTACTTTGGCCTTATAGAATGTAGAGTTGTCAAAATGCGCACAAAACAGTAATTTATATTCACTATTTTTTCGGTCTATATACCGAAAGTTTATGTTATTTCTAAAATTGACTGATTGACTGACTGAATTTGATTAAGTGTTCTTGAACTCTTGAGGTCTGGTTCTAACTCTAATGAGTTTGAGTTATTATCACACCTCTATGACTTTGTAATGTACTTTAGATCAAGTTCTGTTTATAACCAAGTTACCAGTGTTATAATACGTATGCCAATCACTAGGTTATTTATGAATTAAGAAATATTATTGGTGATATTAGTTATATATAAAATAGAGAAGGTATTATAACATTAACTATTTCAATATGCATATAATCCCAGTTTTATATAGGCAAACATGATGTCTATTAGGCTCTAAAATATAAAAATGTGTATCAAAATTTATGATGCAACTAAATTTTTATCTACTATTATATGCTATATCTCTTAGAAGAATGTTAAACGACTTATAATTGGTATCTATTTTTTAATTTACATTAATGTCTTCCTATAAAACCTGGGACCTTAAAGTGCGTATATATTAGCGCGCTGCGCCGCGAACGCGCAGCGCGCGTATAGATTCGCCTGTATTTATACGTCTTGTCAAGTTGCGCGCACCCTGTACGCAAACCACTTGCCGCGAACCATCTCCTGTCGATTTTTTAACGCTCCGCTTTGTAGTGAAGACAGCGCGCGCATTCCATGCGCCTTTATATGTGGCTTTGTGTGTTTTCTTTGAATAAATCCTCTTTTTCTGTGGTTTTCTTTGAATATTGTTTATTAATGGAGTGGTCAAAGAGCCGCACACTCATACTCATCACTAAAATTGCGTAGTTCTTCTCGCACGGCAGAGAGATTATTAACGACTAAACGAATGTTCGCGGGATTTTTATGGATAGGGGGATGTTCGTTAAAACAATAAAAGTAACGCGTGGCGAATGCTTAGCGCAGCGCACCAATATATACGCACTTTTATATAGGCATAAATATTCTATACCAAGTACATTTAGAAAAAAACCTTCATTATTGGGAATATTGTTTTAAAGGTTACATAAGCTCTATAAACGTAAATTAAACGAATACACTTTTTATATTAAAAATAGTTTGTTAATTGAAACGCATATTACTTCTAAGGGATCATATTTTACCAATTAAGCTAAAATAAATTGCTTAATTTGTCAATACCAACATAGTACCTATTAGCTGTGAAAAATGTCACGTTTTACAAAGCCGGCGTACAAAGTCTTAAAATAAAATTGCCATAGGCTGTGATCAGAATATTATTCTAATTATTAATATATGATTTAATACTAAACTCTTAGAAGTAATATTGCCATACGTGTTATATTTTAGAAAGTTATAAGAAAGGAATAATATTCTCTGATTATGGCAGCATTTTTTTCTACAACGTCCTACACATTTTGAAATTAAATTCGGTGCTTTTTTGCTTCATTAAAAATAACTGATATTTTTCAGAGTGATCTAAGGACTCTTATAAAAACATTTGTATATATTTTTTTTAATAAATTTAATAGGATCGTGTTGATACATTGTAGTATACAGGGTTTACAATAACATTTTTTTTGCTTTGGTTTACAACATATGAAAACATTTTTTGTTCGTTCCTCACCATACTTGATTTTGTTTAAATTTGACTAATAAATTTAAACAATTTTTCCATATTCTATATAACAAAATTGTATGCATTTTTCTTGAAATTTTTTTATATTTTTTATCATATGTATAATACAACTTCTAGGGTGAAAATTTCCTTGTTATTATTAAAGTAAAATATATTTAATCTTTCTGGCTTTCAAAGACCCTGAAGTGTTTTCTATGATCTTTTTCTACGTGTATTTCATATATATATATATTATATATATATATACAGGGGTGTCCCAGGCTGAGCGTGCATTAGACGTTTCTAGAGAACTACAATATCTAGATCGGAGATTTTTTGCACATTATTGTTTCACGAGATCTATCAATTAAAAATATTTTCAATATGGCGGTACTTCCGGAAATACCAGAAGTTGATAGCAACTTTCTTATTTTAAATGAGTATCCTCATTTTTTATTACATAATTAAATTCTCTTTAAAATTTTATGAATTGTGATATTAAACACTCTATACCTAATATTAACTGTTTTTGAGAAAAAAAATATTTAAAATTTTTGGAGGAAAAAAACAGCCCGTCAAAAAAATCGGTATAGTCTAAACGACATATTTAGTGATCACCACAGCCACTGTGGAATAAAGAGAAGACATGTGGCTATCTATTTCAAAATTTAAATTGTTCGAATGTCATACGATATTGGCCGTAGCTGTGATGGAATTGAGCGATTAAAACATTTTTTTAATCGGTCAGACAGGCAGTTTTTTTTGTCCAAAAAATTTAAATATTTTTTTTCTCAAAAATGGTTAATGTTAGATATAGAGTGTTTGATATCAAAGTTCATAAAATTTTGCAGAGAATATAAGTATGTGATAAAAAATGGGGGTACCCATTTAAAATAAGAAAGTTACTGTCGACTTCCGGTATTTCCGGAAGTGCCGCCATGTTGAAAATATTTTTAATCGATAGATCTCGTTGTGAAACAGTAATGTACAAAAAATCTCCGATCTAGATATTGTAGTTCTCTAGAAACTTCTAATGCACGCTCAGTCTGGGACACCCTGTATATATATTGTTGATTGTTAATACTAGTAAGCATGTTATTACTAAACATTTGTGATTCTTTTGAAGCTTTAAGGCTTTTTATTTATGTGCAAATATTTTACGCATTACTGTCGTTCAGGATATTGAATTAATATTTCTGTTAAGAACTATTTGACTGACTTCTACATTTATACTTTTTTAATAAAACTTGTTTTAGACTTCTGTGTATCTTTTTGTTTTCATTTATCCATCTATATGCATCTATTATGGACACATATTAATGTATCCTACAATCGAAAATAAAATCGGCGTCAAGGTTGATATAGAAGTGAAGATCAGTGTCATTTTATATCTGAGGGGTTCAGAAGTGAACTGAATAAGTCCTTAAAGGTAATTATGAAAAAAAAGAGAGTTAATATGCTGCCGAAGTTTCCGGAATACAGTTCGGACCACCCTGTATAGTAAATGATGGGTAAGGGAAAAAAACGACGTCATAAAACTGACTTTTAAAGAGAAAACTGATTTGATGTTGCCAAATACCATGTTAAAGATACTGTATGATCGAAGTACAAAAAAAAGATTAAAAATAGTACAAAAAATATTACTGTACGCGCTATTATATATTATATTATAAATACTTACCAGAAAAATGTTTAATTTTTAAACGTTTAATTATTTCGCACGCTCTTTTAACTCTGAGGAGGACAACTCCCAAAAATTTATTTTAAATTCATAAATATGCATTTAAAATAAAAATCCTGATGTAAATTGGCTAGGTCAAAGGAAAATAAATAAAAACAAGCTTAACTGCCATAGACAACTTCATTGAAATGAAAATACTGTTTGGAATGCAACTTAATTCATTATTAAAACTAAAGCTAAAAGTGAAAGAAATAATTAAGAAAAAAACTAGTAACTGAAAGTTAACAAATAAAACTTATCACAATAATAAAATACGAAGACACCGGTAATGTAGTTAAGAAATTTATTGGCTTATAAGAAAACCGACACTTTGGATGTAAGAAGGAACTTTACATGTTAGTTTTACTATTTAATACAATATGAAAATACTAGCTTTCTTTTATTTAGTTTTGATACCACTCTATATACAATGTGTCTTTCAAAGCCCAGATAACAGTCATAGAAAAAATATTTAAAACAGAACATACCAAATAAATACATAAATAAACCTTAAGAATATTTCAATAAACCTGGGAAATGTATGTTCAATATTCACTACAAAATTGTATTATTTTCTATGAACTGTTTATTTAATTATTGACATATAAAAAAATTTAAATAAATGTTACACACAAAATATTTCTTTTAATATATTAAATATAGAAATTAGATATTTTTGGGAAAATGACCTCTAAAAATTTATAACATTGTTATATTAACTCTAAACAACAACACTTAACGCTTTCTTCTGACTATGTAAAAAAACTGTACACTAGTTTCGAAATATACATATTTACAATATATTTATTAGATTACAGTGAGAAATAAATAGGTTTAAATTGATTTCGTTTTTGCTGAGATCGAACAAAACCAGCAATGTTTTTTCTTTAAATAACACAAAACATGTGAGATGCTATTTGCTCAAGTAAGCTATGCCTACTTTTTTGTACTAAAGTTAATTTTTATTGATGCCATACTCAGTTGAATTAATTATTAATTGACAGAAAATAACCATGATCACCTATCAAATTCAGTATCTATCACTGATATTATACAACACAGTGATATGAGGCGCAGCGGATCATATTTGTAAGAAGCAATTTTATGACTAGAAACTGTATAGCATGAAATAAATTAAAAAATATGCTCAAATTAAACTACAGCAATATTTGAAAAACCAGAAATGTTTGAAGATCCTTACTGATATAATCCACAATAAACAAATAGCACCTTTGAAAACACTGGAAAAACAAAAAGTAGTATTTGGAAAATCGTTTCAGAGTACTAGAAAGAAAGTTATTTTACTCATGACAATAAATGAAACAATTAACAAAAATAAAGAAGTTAATTGGAATATTTAGTATACAGAAAATTACATAGTGAATAAAATAACAAACTTGTGTTTTGTTCTCGTTAGAATTTTATAAAAACAAACAACATCAAAATATTAAACAAACAAACCCTTATATTTGCGCTTAAGGGATAACAGTTTGTTAAACCACCAAAAGTAACAAAATATATGAAGCCTTATTAACAATGTTTATTGTATTGTCTTGATCTATCAACTTTAGAATTCACTTTAAAAGGCTAAACTGAAAATCAAAAATGTTTAGGAAAAAAGTTTGTTCAATACAAAGCTAAAAAATACGTCAAAAATATTTTTACAGAGATTCTATATATAGGCTTATAAATAGAATTAAAATTCTGAGGAAAAGATATTTTTATAGGCAATTATTTCAAATCCCCAGTATCATCAGATATTTTTGGTACTTATGATCTCTATCAAATATTTTTTCTCTAAAAAAGGGAATATAAAAAGAACTAATCAATGGCAAAATAGTGATTAAAAACTACATAATTTACTCTTATTTACAATAACACTTTCTGAATTAAGTACAGACAGACTGATTAAAAAATGTCAGCAGCTTGACAAATTTTAACCAATCTGTAAATTAATATTATATTTGTGGATCACATTTGGTCATTGATGTTAATATATCACCTAATATGTCATTGGAAGGCGCTGGTAATGGTTTTATTTTTAACTTAATGGGTTTCTTGGGGGAGATCCCCTCACCACTGTATCGCTTAACTTCTGATTTCTGAGGAGAACTGTCAATTGAATTTGAACTACTGCCAGTTTTGACTGAAAGTGATGTTTCAGAACTGTGTGGTACTAATGTGGTTGTGGATGTATCTGTAGTAACAGATGACGAAGATATTTGCTTCATTTCTCTACCAGAATCTTCTTTGGAATCAGAAGAAAGACTATTGGTCAACACCTTGCTATGATTGTGTTTTTTATCACCGGATTGCTTTGCTTTATCTGAAGAGTGACTCTTGTGATGTTTGTCTCTTTTATCTTTGTCACTATCCTTATACGAGCTAGAACTGCTATGATGCCTGTGCTTATCATCTCTAATCTTATGCCTTTCTTTATCTCTATCATGCCTGTCTCTATGTTTATGCTCTTTCCTGGATTTTTCTCTATCCCTCTCTTTATGTCTTTCTCTATCCTTATCTTTTGATATTCTGTTTTCATCACTACTGCTGCTGGACTTATGTTTTTCTTTTTCATTATAATTTTTAACCTTCTCGCCAATTTTTATTTTCAACTTTTCAAAATCTATTTTATGTTTGACTTTCTCAACACTGGGATTCTTATTACTAATTTGACTACTTGGGGGTTTAGGAGTTTTAATTTTAAAATTATGTGATGACTTGGAATTCGCATTTTCTTTAGTATCTGCATCTTGAAGATCATAATAAATTTTCAACCTCACATGCCACGCTGAAATAAACGTATTTATAGATTTTTTTTAAGAAAATATGTTAAGAATAATTTCACCTATGCTAGTCACAGCTGTAACTGTACGAAATTGATGAATAATATTTCTTGGCAAAAAATAAATGTCATTATCATACAAATTCACTCTAGCATATTCAATACCCTCCCTTCTTAACTGATTTAATTTAGCATCTTCTATCCATGTAACACACTACAAGAAATTTAAATTCTAATTATTAAATTGAACGTAGTGTTAAAAAATTAAAAAATATATAACAATCTAATTATATTATTAAAACAAATTAAATTTAGTAACCTGTGAAATAGGTGGCTCATGTAAATCCAACTGTAACTTTTCAGCAAGAATATCAAAGTATTTTGCTGAAAATGCTACAACATCCTTTGTCACTCTATTGATCGAGCCTTCATCTTTACATCCATGAATGGCTTTAAGAATGCCAACAGCAGCAGTGGTTTTTCTATCTAATCCAGCACCAACATGATCTGCATGTGCTCTTGTGCGATCTTCAAATAGATGTTCCCTTGCTTCTGACATTCTTGGTAAATACTGTAAATTCCTCAGCTCATTTATACCAGTTCTGCAAAAGAGTTATTGAAATAAAAGACATTTGTATTATTCCTTTTAACCTTTTTCTTTTGTTAGGTGTTCTATTGTCAGCAGTTGGTACTAACTGTTCACCTGGTCTACACCAAATAATTGGTCCATCATTACTTTCAGTAGGTTTCATTTGGTCTAGTATTGATAATGGCCCCCAGGGCATAGTCTACAAATATAAACAAATTTGAAAACAATAATATTGCATAAAATATTCTTACCATTTTCAAGAAATAATTCTCTTCTAAAAGATCAAGCAAATCTGGAAAATATCCACCTACTTCTTCATGTGCTGTTCCTACTATACTTATTTGGTGTAGGGGTCCAAACCTGACAGTACCTGCTTCATAATGTTGCACAACATTTCTATTATAAGCTGATAATGTTGTGGTTTCTATATCAGAACTCTTACTTAGCAAACCATTTTTGACAGTTAAAGTTGGATAATTTTCTGCCATATACTCCAATATATCAGGTAAATATGTAGCAGAACCATGAACCACAGCAATAACAAATGTTGCATGGCCATTTGCATCTTCTTCAAATGCTAACTTAAACCATTCTTGCGCCAGTTCCTTGATTTCACTGGAACTTAAATGTTTGATTTCTTCATGGTACATTCTTAAAATTTTTGCTCCACCATTTGTATGGGTTTCTATGTGAAAGTATTTTCTGTATTTCAAAGACAGCTAAAAAATATTTGTTAAAGATAAATATAACTTAAATTCTTAATTGTTCACTTACATCTTCGGGTGGATAACTATAGTTGCCATTAGTCATAAGTTTAAGCTTGGCATCTCTGTGTCTTGAACTTGAGCTACTTGAATGTTCTCTACTATTCCCACTTTTACTGCTCCTGGAATCATGTCTTTTGCTACTGCTACTACTACTATGTCTTCGATGGTGAACACTTTTTGATTTTGAGCATTTTAGTTCACTTTTATGTTTATGTTTGTACTGTGAAAAATCAATTTTCCTAATTTTAATATCTTTATGATCAACATCTGCTGAATATGACCTTTTTATTTTTTTTCTAGAACATGAAATTACGTCAACAGAACGTGTCCTACCTTTCCTAGGAGAACACTGAGCTGTTACAGACTCGCCAGAACTGGATTTGTGCGTCTCCAGATGTTTATTTGATTGATTTTCAATGGCATGTAAAAGCTCAACCCCTTTCTTGCCTTCTAAAAGACTTTCATCTAAATTATCAATAAACATTGAACACCTTTTTTGTCTTTTATTTGGAGGAGCCTCTTCATTTGCAATGGTTTCTGTTTTAACTTTTATGGTATTATTATTAGTACTAATAGGGGACTGCTCAGGATTATCTGTGCAATTTGTATCACAGCCTACATTTAAGTCTGATTTAGAATTTAAGGCATTAGACTTGAGAATGACTTGCGAGTCATTTGATAAATCATTTGTATCTTTCATTCTTATATCAGGAGTCATAGGTGTATCTTCACCATTATATTCTTTACTATTTTCGTCACACTCACTTTTAATATCACTACACTTAACAATCAAATCACTATTTGTTTCAGGGAATAGTTTACTTTGACCAAATGTCACTGCCCTATTGCTAAATTTTCCACTGTCAGAATGATCAGGTAAGTTAGACTTTTCATCGACAATAATGCTCTGTAAAAAATCATTTGATTCGGAATCTGCAGTTATGGAAGGAGTCTTTGGTATTTCACAAATTATGGAATTATTGTGGTTATCAGCATTACTAACTATCTCCTTGTCGAAGCTCTCTAGTGAATCCTGGCCATTGCTTAACAGAACAAACTCTTCCACAAGGGCCTCTCCTAAAAAAAATGTTATGGTGTTTTATATATATATATATATATATATATATATATATATATATATATATATATATATATATATATATATATATATATTCTACAACCTTCCGTAATTATCAGTTTAGAAGGTATGTTTACAAATAAAGAATACATACCACTAGCACTACTACCACCATTAGACAAGTCCAATTCAACTTGAAATGTTCGTCGTTGAATATTGCAAGTGCATTCAGAAATTATAAGGTCACACACCGTACACATATCCTGGGTTGTTATAGGATTTGTGTCTTTCTTAAAAAACTCCTTGTTTTCGTCGTCTCCGCTTGTTTCATCGTTGGACGCCATAATTCGATCGAGAAAACCCGGGCACTTACCTATTAAATATAAGCAACATAACAGAACGTTTACGCCGTTAGATTCTTATACGCACAATATTATTTACATTTTCAAACAGACTGCCGTGCAAAATTGACAAAATATTTTTTTTAAACCAAAGAAAAACACCATAAAACGACAGTAATTCGCAATCGCGCCGCCATGCTCACACCGGCCAGTTTATGATTTAACAGTGGCGCATCTTCTATTTACAATTGATTATTCGAAATTCTAAAATAGAAATAAACCAATATATTAATACTAAAAGTTTGAAAATTTTTTTTAGCATAACTATACATTGAAAATTATCTAAATTTATAATTGTTCTGTACAAAAACTTGAACAAAGTCTAAAATTTATATTAAAGTATCCAATAAACAGTACGCTTCTGTATTGAAGTCTGCTGTCATGTCATTTCCATGCAAATATTTTGTTTTATTCAACTAAATTATTACAATATTTGTCACTTAGGATTTAAGTTTAGACTTGAATACTCTTCAAATAAAAATATCTTCACATGAATACATTCAAAGTTTCATTATTTCTAGTTTCTAACAATAATCAAACATTTTTTATTAGTTCGTGCTATAAGTCACGTACTCGTAGAGCGGGAAATTCAAATCAAGGTAGCAGAAATTTAGAAGTTCAATGGCGTTGAATGTTTATCATAAAAGTCCTTGTATGTAATCTTTGATATAGGTCTATTAGCCTAGATTTTTCAAGACCTTACCAACTCCTCTATCTATGGACCTCACGTAGAACAAGCTTAGAACCTAGATAAAGAATAAATAAAAAAATCCTGTTCAGTTGGACGAATGCGCCATATGGAAGAATAAAAATTATAATTAGTAACGGGGCAGTAACTAGTACTAATATAATAGTAGTTTTGTAGTAGATATAAATAGTTGTTAAATAATAAACTCCCAATTCACTATGGACATTTAATAAATAAAAAATTTAAATTTACCGGGCATAGAAAGGACATGTTTATTTTCTCACTGGCTATATATAGCGCATGTCTTATTGGTTTGGCTTTTTGTGCGCGGGCCAATACCAAACCAGATTCCTCGTGCGGCCGGCCATATTGCGTTTAATGAGTGCGTGAACGACAAGAGGCTGAAGTAGCCCTAAAATAAATCTTCCAACATCTTAAAGTTGTGAAGATTTTTATAAATTTTATCCATTATGGAGAACTCCTACGGGATCGGTGTGGCCAATAGGTACGCACTTTTTTTAGACGACGAGTCGGATCCGTTGGAAACTTTGGTCCAAAAGGAGCAAGAGAAGGAACTGAAGAAGAAAAGTAAAGTAGCTGAAAAGGAAAATAAGACGAAACCAGAACCTGCCAAGGGAAAATCCGCACCGACAATACCGAAAAAAACAATTAAGGATACTACGAGTCACAAAGCTCAGGAAAATAAACGAGAAGGTAAGTGTCTCGTATAGACGGCCATAGCACTTTTATTAGTGCACATGTGATTAAAAGCCGATTTGTTACAGTTCGTGTATTTATAAGTGTATGTGTGCGCTAAATTTTAGATTTCAAGCCCAACCAAAGGGCAAATACCGAGGGAAAAATCGAACAACGGCCATTTACAAAATTTAATAGTACCGAAAATCGAGAGGAGAGAAATAATAGAAGAAACCGCGAAGATAGACCGTTTAATGGACCTTCCGAAAACCGGTAAGTCGGTATTACACATGTCTAGTTACCATTCAAGTGTGGAAAATGAGGTGTCTCTAGTTTATTAGCCAAATTTGTATTTTTTAAAGTGCTTCGTTTTCATTTCTACTTGTTTCAGCTATCAGTCAATTATATAAGTTAAAATATTTATAAATACAAAAAATCTAAGGTTAAAAACCAAACCAAACATCAACTTTATTTATTAATGATATAGTAATTTATTTTGTACTTTTGTTTTGGAGTGAAAGTTAAAATAAGTGTTAATATTTTTGTAGTGATCGTGAAAACCGGCCTAGACGTGAAAATACAGACTTTGATAATCGTACTCGTGGTGAACGTGGGGAAAGGAAAGAAGGACGCCCTGTAGGCAATCGCACTGGACCGCCGCGACCTGGTGGGGGCCCTAAAAAACCATTTGAGGACAGAAGAGGCAAGCGTGAATTTGACAGACAATCTGGATCTGATAAAACGTAAGTTTTCTCATGTTTTACCAGCATTAGAAAAGGGAATACAGTCACAAATATTCTCTTTTATTTTGCCTGGATTCCCAATTCGAATGAATTAGTAGTTAAGTTTGAATGATGTTGGTGATGATACGTTAATTAATGCAGCCATGGTTACAGAGGAGTTAAGCCAGTAGAGAAGCGGGATGGTGCTGGTGCTCATAACTGGGGATCTACCAAAGATATTATTGAGTAAGTAGATCTACACTACATTATTGAGATGGTTTACCAATAATTCTTGCAATTGTTCTTAGTGCTGAAGCCGATAGATCTAATACTGAAACTGATCAGAGTTGGGGAGAATCTGAAAAACCTGAAGTTACTAATGACACAGAAAAAAAGTAATTATTTTAAATGCATAATTGGAACCCTGCATAATTTTTCTTGTTATTTTCATGAAGAGAAGAACCTGAGGTTGAACAACCACCGACAGAGGAAGAACCAAAAGAATTGACTCTGGATGAATGGAAGGCTCAGCGCGCTGGTCGTGTGAAGCCCGTTTTTAATATCAGAAAAGCCGGTGAAGGAGAGGACCCCAGCCAATGGAAAAAGATGTTCGAACTGAAAAAGAAGGAAAAGGACGATCAAGAATCTGATGACGAGGAATATGACGCTTTAGAGTATCCACAAAGGGTTGGCCGACAGAAACACATATTGGACATTGATATTCAATTTTACGACAATAAACGTGCTGGCGGCGGTAGGGGCAGAGGCCAAGGAAGAGGCGGCAGAGGGGGACGTGGTATCCGTGGCCCCCCTCGTGAAGGGGAGAAGAGATTCCGCGATGAACAGGTATGTTTCTCTGTTTTTTACAACTTCTACAAACTATTTTGTATTAAAAGAGTGAAATTAATTTATACTTGGCCACTCTCCATGCAAGTGGAAAAAGTGTACTAAGGTATACTTTATATTCCAACTTTTTAAAACATATGTTTATTTTTTATCCTGTCCTAAAGGGTATGTAGAATGAGTACGAGGGGGGGTTAATCACTGCGACCTTACAGATCGATTGTGTCCTAAAGGGTATAGACTCCAATTTGTTTAAAGTTTTAAACTTCAATTACATTAAACTTAAAATTTGTTACAGGTTGAAGATAAAAATGTTCCGAGAGCCCCAAAAGTCGACGACGAGAGAGATTTCCCATCTCTTGGTTAAGATACCGTAAATCAGTTACTGATGATGGTGTCACCTCCATCACATAGTCATCTGAGTAACCAAGAAAAAAATTAGACATTTTAATAAAATCAATTAAAACTCCTTTTGTTACTATTTCGGTACTAAATTTAGAGTTAACTGGTGAATTTTTATTTTTTACTTTGTTTTTCTCTTTACCGTTTCAAATTGTACACTTCCAAATTATTTTGTGTGTTCGAATCAATTATAAGCATCCTCGCTTAAATTTAGTGATTTATTGTTATTAGAATATTTAATACTGGAGTGTACGGTTATAAAGTTGATACAAATATATCACGATTTGTATATAAGGATTATATAAGGAAGGTTTTTGTATATTGTGCCAAAATCTGCACATATTTTTGATTAACCTTCTGCCTAATAACATGACTTGTTTGTAAATGTTTGAGAAGATTTTTCATAAATTTATTAAACGAGTTTCTCTATTTAACTTTGTTTTTATAAGGCTAACATCTATAAAAAAGGAGCTTTTTATTGGGTTGCATAAGTATAAACAAAAATACTTTAAACAGCCCCATTTTATCAGGTTTGAGAGTATCTTTAATTTTGATACAAGATATTTGAACCTTCCCAAGTTTTTTTTTCAATGACTAGATTTAATGGAGAAATTTAGTCATTATAAAACTTTCATAATTTCATTCATGATTTCAGTGTAGACTGTAAACCTTATCCTAAATGGTTACTAGTCAGTTTAATGCTGTATTGTTGAGAGTTTTATACTTGGCTGCTCATGAATAGTGTCATTTTAGTTTTTTTTTGCATTTCACAAAACAATTGTTAATCATTCTCATGCAGTTTATATATTTTTAATAAAATTACAATGTTTTATATTAGCTATTGCTTTTAATATAATTTATTTAAAAAAAAATTATACTCTTAGGATGCCTCTAAAACATTCTTTGTTGCTCTTATTTTGATCTAGTAAATTGCTAATATATCCTTGTCATATTTTCATGATTATTTTACATTGTTTATCAATATCATTTGAGCCAAAGATAAACAAAGGTTTTAAGAAAATGTTTTTGTTTAACCAGACTTCAGGTTAGCATTACCATTTTATTCTAAAAATATTTTAATAAAATTTCTAAAGACGATATTGGTTTAAATTTATTTTCCTGCTATATATGCCTTAAAGAATTACATTCGTGTTATTTCAAAATAAGAGTTAACAAAAACGTAGCAACTTGTATATTTATAACGTTTATATTTGGTGAGGTACAAAAAATATCCCGATCCTACATCCTAAGTTATAAAGGAAGTTTCTAACTTTAGTACAATGTAGTGACGAGACAATTTATTTTTGTGAATTATATAAATTATAATCAAATTGAACAAGTTAAAATACTTTTATACTTAAAACAGAGTATTTTAACTATGGCTAAAAATTGGGTGTAATTTGAGTCGTTGCCATTTTATTGGTTCTTTGATAAAACGTCAAAATATCTGATAAAAATAAAAATGTGTAAAATAACTGTGTTGTATAAAGTTATCTTTCTATAGACTTCCTACTGATTGGATTAGTAAAAATAATTATCACTCTAAAAAAATATCCTATTAAATTGTTGCAGGTTTGTGTATAAAATAAGTGTTTCGAGTTCCACTCTACAGTGTTACTATTAAAACGAAAATTACCTTTTCACTATGCTACACATTATCAAATAGAGTTAAATTTCGTTGGATGTCTTCCTCAGAAATAATTATCATCTAATAGAAAGTGTTTTATTAGCTGTAGTTGATGGATTCGGATTTGTATATACAAAATAAATTTTCTACATAGGTGGAGTACAGGAGACATTTTTATTGAATAAATTAATTTGTGAAAAATTTAATCCTAAATATCACTAATATTTTCATGCATTGATATTTATGCTTTAACTATCCGATTCAAAAACCCAGAAATGTTAAAATTCGAAGTGACGTTATGCTTTTACTTTTGTTATAGGCATAACTCTTGTGCCAAAACATCACTAGCTTTATAAATTTAAGGCAATGTTAATATGTAATTTTATAATTGTGTATGTGCATAAGGTATTTTCTTTCAGCAAAAATAATAAAAATAATGCACGTTTAAATTATAATAATCAACTTTTTCAAAACAATCAGATTTGTAATTATGGCAAATAAACTGGGTTTTAATATTTTTAGTTTGTATTATTTTTTAAAACTAAATTATTGCAATTTTTTTTGTGAAAAAAAAAATATAATTCGATGAGCAAAGTAAATAGATCTATTTTCTTTGCTGAAAAAAAGACAGGGATAGGGAGTTAAGGTATATTAGAATAAATAAGAAATCCTTTATTGACTGAATATATTACGATGAGCCAAAACATAAATAAATGTGAAAATGCCGTTTATATCTAAGATAATGAATTTATGAAGATTAGCTGAAACCATTTAGGACTTAACAGTAAAAACGAAATTAAAATCTGCCATAAGCTAACTATTAAAAATCTCTATGTACATAATACAGTAAATATTAACAAATAAAATAGCAGTTTTAACGAAAAAATTTATTATAATTATAATTAATACATTTGAAATAATATAAAAATTAACACTATCAAGCGATGAAATGGTAATTAAAAATCTATGTATATGTTTTTTTATTAATATAAAAAAAACAAGAAAAAAATACAATGTCGACATGCCGAATGTGACAAGTACAAACTCTCACGAAACAACTGAATCCTTAGCACCTTAAAATATCCTCACGATCTATAAAAAATGAAATAGTCCTAAAAAGCTTTAGTTGTGTGCTGGTAAAAAAAAATCGAATCAATATGAAACAGTCATCATTTTCACTCGTACGATTTCCTAAAAAAATTGAAGCATCCTTTCCAAGGACGCGTAAAATCTAAATGTATCCAACTCAAACTACTAGTTACAAAAATAGTTGTATAAAGGTCACACATTTTACAATTAAAAAATAGTAAAGTTTAATCTCTGACGCCGGGATGGTCGAGAACGAAACAAAATATAAATTAAAGGCTGACACAAAATATAACTTAACATCGTAAAAATCGATAATTACAGCCCCCACGCTCCACAATTCATTATATATATATTTATAATATTTATACTACTTTACAATAACACATTCGTTCTTTTATTTAGTTTTTTTTACATTTCGTCTTGCAGCTTCATCTTTTTTAAAGCAGACGTTTGGGAATCGGGTAATCGTTTTGTGGTTTTATTTTGTACACCTGTATCTAAAATTTAAAATATTATCAGTAACAGACGTTAAAAACATAAAACTAAACGAATTTAAAGCTACGAATCCGATATTGATTATTCAGAAGCAAATGAACAGATTTACTGCTGCGCATACTCATAATGTTTGGCAGATATAATTTATATAGAACTATTCTGAAATTAGAATGTTAATTAAAGCTCCGCGCGCACTGAATAGGTATCGGCGAGAGCGAGCGGTGCGAGAGGCGCGAGCGGCACGACCGGTCGGAAAGTCGATTGTAGCCACGCACTGGAGTCGCACGATCGACGGTCGAGAGTACGTCACCAGCATAAATTTGAGCATAGACGAGGAGAAGTTTCTTCAAATTTAGTCAAATTCTGGCTCTTTCTTATTTCATTGCGCTTGACACTTGACAGCTGGAACAAATTACCGATTGTAATAAGTTATACAAAGTTTCACTACACACAACCAACATTAAAAATCGCTAAAATGTCGTATGACCAGCTAATGATTCATTCGTTATGTCTAAAAAGTTGGCGTCTAAGGTCACAAATTCTGCTCCAGCCTGTATATGGGCGTTACATGTCTTTGTATTCTTTAGTCATAGATATTCATCCATCTTCTTCTTCTTTTTTGTTTCGTTCTTACTTACTCAATGATCATTACTTTTTAAAAATTTTCGGCCATAATTTCGGGGGGGGTTTGAACCCCCAAAACACCCCCCCAGATACGGCCCTGCCTGTACAGATCTGATGCCATACATAATCAATTTCACGAAATGACATCCAGACTTTCCAAGCTGTCTTTTTGCCAATGCCACAAAATGTGGAAACTGTGTCGCAACCTGTAACAGAATGAAAAGGCAACAAATTATTGCAAATTTCCTGTGAGAGTTTGGCACAAATCTCATGAATTGGAATGCATTTTCTGTTTTTGCCAGTACCATACTCAATCCATAGTTCATCAATATCTTTTATTTTTGAGAACAGTGATATTGAGATAACCACCACTTCTGAGTCTACAGTTCGTATTAAGATGCGAATATGTCCATTTTCAAATGCATGCTTAACATGGAGAAGCATGCGGCCATCTGCTTCTTCGTATGAGGCTGGAGAAATGCTTGATATACCCATATTTGTTGACGCGAGAACTCGATATTCATAAGTACATAGAACATGTTTCCCTGGATACTCCTCCCTCACCATTTTCTTCGCTAGCAACTGGAACAATTGTGTCTTGTTTTCGTTAACACATAAGAATTGCTTAATTTTTTTTGGAATTTTAGTTGAGTCTGAGACTTTAAATGCTTAAAAAATATGTTGGAAAAGTTGAGTTATAACGGGAAATCTAGAAACGTGTTTCAAAATTTTGGCGGCCATTTTGATTACGTCATCAAGATCGCTAGAGGGCCAGAAAAACACATTCATTTCGCAACTTGTTACAAAAATAGCTATTTTGGTACACTATAATATACAGCTTGCATAATTTATTACTATCTGGTACACTCGTTATTAATTATCTAAAAACATATTTCTTTTTTAGGTTACAGTAAAGAAGGAGTAAAAAATAAGGTAAAAAACAAGACAATTTATCATTTTCACGCCTGAAATGGTGAAACCTTTCTGATCGATATCAACTTTTGAAATTGAACCCCGGAGAATATTAGCAAAGTTGAAACAAAAAATAATAATTCTCCCTGAACGTTCATAATTCTGTCAAGCACGAAACATATTACAATCCCTTCTTGATAATAAATCATTCTAAATTCTAAATAAATTAGTATGCCTCTAGCGGCAAGTCACATCTAACCTTAGGAACACTGTCGGCTTTGCGGACAACAATACGGAAACTATGTCTCAAAGTTTGTGTTGTTAGACTTAATACAAGACCTACTGTATTTTGTCTTTATTACTTTAGATTAAAAAATAGCTTAAAACATCTAGAATCTACCATATCTGTAAGAATCAAAAAGGAATACGAAAAATTCAAATAAATTATTAATAATAAATTTAACATTAAATTATAAAATTACACATTTCTCAATGAATTGAAAGAGAAAAAGGTTCGTCGGTAGTTAAAAGCATACACGGAAAAAAAGCTAAACTGGCTTAAAGATTATTAATCTTGAACCAACGATATGCTAGTTTCCAAATTCCGCAAATCTAGTTATACTTCTTTTCAAGAAAACCTTATCCTTAGAAGCTAAGAAAATGTATCTTTTATTTAAGATTTACCTAGTATTGAAATTAAGATTATAACTACACTCCAGACAATTCGCGATAAAATCTTGTTTCTAGTACTACTTATACTTATTTGTAAATTAGCAAATTATTGCATAAAGTATAGGAATTCTTTGTGTACATGCAATAATTATTTTATTCAAGTGTAATATCACCTACTATAAAATAAAGCCTCTTCTTACTTTTAGGTTAGTTACTAGACGCGCCGACTAGGTAGTTTATAAAATTATAAAGTTTTTTTGTTATCGTTTGTGCTTGTGATATGTAAAAATGGAGAACCTTCTTCAGGCATGGGAGATGACGATTTAATCCCAAAATTTCAAGGTAAGTTTAGCAATAATCCTACATTATTTGATGACATTGGTTGGAGATTAGGGGGACTCCATTTTAATATGCATTA